TTTATTATTTAATAAAGGTGCAATATTTTGGTTTGGATCATTCAAATAATTTATAATTGGACTATTGCTACATCAAAATGTTAAAAAATCACCCTCTAAAAAATAAAAAGTTAGACCAATTGCTAATTAGAACGTCGATATATGTTTGTAAATTTAAAAAAGTCAAAAAAATTAGTATAAAAATCACAACAATCCTCAATAAAAAATTAATAATAAATAAACGTATAAATTTATTATTATAATTCTTTATTAACCTCGACTTTTCGGAACGAGCTAAAATTGCCAAGTATAACTAAACTTGTATATTTATAAATTCACCTTTATTTACACAAGCCAGAAAAGTCGTAAATTATTATCAGCTATTAAAAATTTTAAATCAATATTCGGTCAATAAAAAAACAATAACTATTTAATTTTTAAGTGTAAAATTACCTAAGAAAGTAAAGTAGAAAGTTTAGTCAAAAATATAAAAATAATAATAACACTACTAAAGCATAAGCATTCGCTAAGCATAAACTTTCGTTTAGACTTCTCGAGGCCATGGCCAAATTATTTTGAAATAAATAATTAGCATCGTTACTCACCTCGCCACCTCTAATAAATATAATACAAGTTGTATCCAAGAAAGAGGATATAATTATAATAATAAATAAATAAAAAAGCACCATGCCGTAAATTATCGAGCTGGACATAACTCAAAACTCTATTTCAGTAATATTACGCAAAGCCCAATTATTTGAATAGTTTTGAGTCATAATATTTAATTATCAACGACTAATTATTTTCCAAGCAGCTTTGGCCTCTGAATATTTTATTAAAAGCATTTGATCACTTTCCTTTTCGTGTGACATAAAGTACTTTCTACAACTTATCCAATCGTGGACAGTTTTACCATACCAAACATACATAATAAAAGAACAGATAATAACGTAGTCTTAACTTAGAAGTTCTAAGACATAACTTTGGAAGTGCGCGTCTTATTGTATCGGTACACAATAATAAGAATAATAATTACTTTCTGGGCCAAAATACTTCACCAAGTTAACAATTGTTGGAGCTCTATCGGTGTGATATAATAAAGTGTGCTTAGATATTCTGGCTGCTTATCTTTGTAACAGACCCATCGTGCTTAACATTATAACTAGTTCGCTAACAATTACCATAACGTCATAATCTATATTATTAAGGAAATAATTTTGTTGCCAGTGTATTTATATGATTAGGCTGCATTCAAAAATGATCTATCTCTAGATATATAATTAAGAAATGACCTTGTATCTCGTGAACTATTGACAGTTTTAAAGATATAAGCTCATTCCGATGTTACACTCGACAAGACCTTTCATTTGAGTATCCACATCAATTTTTCATATATTTTATATATTTATATATATTACATATATGTATATATGAAAAATATATAAAAAATGCAAGTGGGTACTCAAATGAAAGCTCTTGATAAATGTAACATCAGGATGAGCTTATATCTTTAAAATATATATTATATATATGAAAAATATATCAAAATGCATGTGGGTACTCAAATGAAAGCTCTTGATGAGTGTAACATCGAGATGAGCTTATATTTTAAAAAATGTCAATATTTAAAAAAGTACAGTGCAATTTAACAAAATTGATTATTTAATAAAGCAAAATTTTATATAATTATAGTTCACAAGTCACATGGTGACTGCAAGGTTTCTAGTTTATAATAATGTATATTACATTATATTCATCGCTTTATTTGTATTTATTCTTTAAAAAATGACAAGTCGTGTTTATTTTTAATATTATGATGTTAATATTTATGCGATTTGTAAGCGATGTTGTTTAAATATTCATTTGACATTGAGCATTGAGTTTTTATAAATGAATTCATTCCACACCGGGGATTCTATTCTCTTCATTCAAAGTTATTGCGGAAATTTATTGATAAAAAAAATTAGGATAAATGGCGGCCAAAAAAAATTTTTGAAGAGGAAAATGAATGATTTTTTTAAATTTTATTGTTATTAATAATTATTGTTATTATTTTTAGATAAAAAATGGGTATGGGCAATGAATTCGATTACAAATGTGGTCTCAGCGAAGATCTACAAACAGTTGCCTTCGAAGAATTGCGCGAAGATGAAAACGTAAGAAGCCAGGCGTTGGAGCAATTTCGATCCTGGATACTGAAGCACCCTTCAATAAAACACTGTCGTACTGATCCTATATTTTTGCTCCGATTTTTGAGAACCAAAAAATTTAGTTTACCCATGGCGCAAGAAATGCTGGAACGGTACTTAACAATCAGGCAATTATACTCCGACTGGTTCCAAAATCTGGACATCAACGACCCTGACATGGAAGCTATTATTGACAACGGATATATCGTACCGTTGTTAGAGAAAGATGAACAGGGAAGACAAGTCATTCTTACTTGTGCTGGTAAGTTTTGTTTGTTTTACACCGAGAAGCTAAAAAATACGAGTTATGTATAATAAATATTAATGACTTTTTTTGTTAGTCTCTATTTAACACTTCTTGAAGGCCACTAGTCTTTTTTAAAATTAATTTTCAAAAAGTAAACCTGTTTTTTTTTTTTTTTTTTTTTTTATTTTAATTATTTCTTTTACATTATTTTTATGAAAAGTATCAAGCTCTTTTTTCTACATTTTTAATTCAAACTTGAATAAAATCATAAAAATACAAACATTTGTAATAAAATGTAATGTAAGCGATAAATAGAAGAAATAATTGAAGATATCCATGAACTGATAAAGTGATGTTGATAAAGCAAAATATTAAAAATAAAACAAGAGCTTAAAATTAAAAATAAGAAAGTATTTTATAAACAAATCAAAAACTTGTTAAACAGTCATGTTCTATTAATTAATTATTATTATTGATATAAAAAAAAAAAAATAATGTTTTTACTGAAAACAATTATCAAAACGTGTTAAATATAACATTATCACGGAACGTGATTTACTTGAAAAAAAAGAGCAAAGTTTAATCACTTGTAAATTGTAAATTGTTTTTAAATGAATTTGATATGTAATTAATTAATCAATAAATAAAATCACAGGTCGATTTGATCCATACAAGTACACGTCTGCACAAATGGTCCGAGCGCACAGCTTGGTATCCGAAGTCCTGATGGACGATGAAGAGAATCAAGTCCGCGGTTACACCCATGTAAATGACGAGTCTGGGCTAACCATGGGCCATGTTAGCGCTTTTTCACTTACCGACATTCGGAACTTGCTCAGATGGATTCAAAGCAGCACACCGATGCGACATAAGCAGACACATTTCATTAATATCCCGAATTACGCCACTAAAGTTATTGACTTTGCGCTGTCGCTTCTTAATGACAAGCTCAGAGCGAGAATTATGGTAAGGATTATCACATATTTTCTTCTTCAATATCAAAAGGTGTTTTTGTGTGTTAGATATTTGTTTATTTTCACTTATAATGCGAGATATTATGTGCAATATTCGCACGAATAGATCATTTAAGGAAATCCTTTTGCTCCAGTTGAGTCAAAACAATTGTAGTAGTCAATATACGATAAATTAAAAAAAGAAACTCATAAAAATTCCTAAAATTAAATAATAAATAGTATATGAGGCATTAATCGTTGAAATTTTGAAAATAAAAAAAAAAAAAATAGTTAAATACAAAAATTAATTTGACTCTTTCAAATCAACTGCTAGTAACCTGTCCGTGATTTGGCAACGCAGTACTTCGGTTGTTTACATTTTCATTTGCACAATATAACCTTAACCACGTTTAAGGAGGTCCTTTCGCCGCCAATGTAAAATAAAAAAAAAAAAATTAGTTAAATACAAAAATTAATTTGATTCTTTCAAATCAGCTGCTAGTAACCTGTCCGTGATTTGACAACGTTGTACTTCGGTTGTTTACATTTTCATTTTCACAATATAACCTTAACCACGTTTAAATTTTTACATTCAGTGTAAATAAATAAATTAGTTTGAATTTATTAAATGGTCTGGAGCTCGCGCGCTACGCAACGTTGCCAAATTTTTTGACTCCATTTTAACGTAGGTTGCTTGAGAATTTTTTGTGATTTTTAATTATTAATTTCTCAATAAATATCTCGGTAATTGATATATTTTATTGCAAAAAAAGAAACCTGAATATTTTGAAAATCTAATTTTTAGTTTTTTTTTTTACTTCATCTAATCCATGGCTGATAGTATAATTCGAGAAATACTGCAAACGTCTGACTTTCTCGTAAGACTTTGAACAAATACTAACATTTAAAAATTTTATTTTTTCAAAAATTTGTCCGGTAAAGTATAATTTAAACCTCACTATTAGATAAATAAGGACCTTAACTATTAGAAAAAAATTGAATTTATTCATAATCTAATATTTTTTATTTTACATTGGCGGCGAAAGAACCTCCTTAATTATAAATAACGAAGTCATGATTTTAATTTTGTAAAAAATGTTAATGTTTAATTTTTTTTTTCTTCACAAGGTTCATACAAGTATGGAAGATTTAAAGGAAGCAATAAATCCCAAAATTCTACCTAAAGAATATGGTGGTAGTGTCCCACTTGCTGATATGATCGGTAATTATTTATTTTATATTTTTATCGTCTTATCGATAATTAATCTATGAAAATAATTTTTAGCTGTGTTCAAAAAAAAATTGCGTGAAAAACGTGACGAGATAAAGGCCCTTGATGATATGTACATAGAAGTATCACCAAAAGACACGTGTTCATCAGTTTCAGACGGTCTTTGTGGTATATCCGGTTCGTTCCGGAAACTAGAGGTTGATTAACTTAATAATTGTAATTTTTATAAATTTACCTTCATTCATTAGTGATAGTTTTTTTTATTAATTGTTGTGTTTTTTATATTAATTTTTTAATCGATTAACTTTTACAGATTTATATTGATAAATAGTATTTGTAATGTATAATCAGCATATAGTTAAAAACTGTTGCGTTGGTGGTGTCAGTTACCATGACGATAAATAAATAAAATCACTATGGTGATTTTTTTTTATTTTTTATAATAGTGTTTTTATGTAACCAATAGCTTAATTATTGTTTTAAATTTTTTTCAAAGTATTTTAATGTTTTATTTAAACACAAATTTTATTTTAAGAATGTGATAGTTATTTCATTCAATTTATTTGTTATTGATTCCGATTGATGACCGTAAAGATAAAAAAAAGTTCTTTTATTTATCAAATATCTCATAGTTTTATTGTTAATTTAAGTATATATTTTTAAAATATAATGTTTGTATGAGTAAGAAAATATAAAATTATAAATTTTATCACTCGTCTTTATTATTTTGGCAGTTATCACCTTTGCATAAAAAATATCTAATCTAATCTAATCTAATTATAAATTCATTCTAGACAATTGAAATTGTTATTATGTAATAAAATAAGTATTATACAAATAAAAAGTGGGGTGATGGAGATATTGGTCGGCGGTATGCTCAAAAACGAACTCAGTTGAAAAAAAGTCTTATTACAAATTTTAGTTTTAAAAGCTAAGTCTTCTATAATTGATCTTTGATAATTAATGTCCGGTATTTTCTGATAAATAGTAACCACATCTTTTTTTCTGAATTATATTGCAAGTTTACGGATTCACGGTTAGTATTTTTCGATATAGTAATTATTAATTAATATTATTTGAATTTTATCAATTATATACACTGATAAAAAAATTAACTTGACTCAAAAGCCAAAATTTTGAACCAAGAAAATGATTTTCTTGATTATTATTGCTCTAATCAGATCTAAATACTTCTTTAATTAATTTAAATCAGGATGTTGTAGACCAAAATGATATTATGTTTTTTATTTAATTTATTTTAACAGTCAGTTTTATTCTAACATCATCAGGCACCTTAAAATTTTACAATGTAAAAACACAGTCCTTAATTTACAAAAAATTACTGCGCATGACATTTTTAATATACAAAAAAATTTTTTATTTTTATATTTTGAGTCTGTCATAAATAAAATGAACCATATCCAATTAAATTTATTAACAATCTCGTCAATAATACAAAATAGTCTTAAAAAAATCAAAACAATTATTAAATTTAAGATGATTTTTTTTTACACGGAATGTTTTAAAAAAATTTTTCTATTATTTTCTAGTTAATATTGACAAGTAAAAAATTGTCAACAATAATCTTCAAATAAACACAAAGTTTCAGTCCTTGCTTTTTGGAAGATGATTTTCTTTAGTCAAGAGAATAAATTCTTGACACAAGAAAATTATTTTCTTCAAAATGGTATTCTTGGTTCAAGATTTTGGCTCTTGAGTCAAGTTAATTTTTTTTATCAGTGTACAAAGTTAATCTGAACTTCAATCATACACTTCAAGCGATTTTAATTCCAAATTCTAATTTTTAGAAATAATTTTACCTATTTAAGAACGAATTTTCTGCATATAAATAAGTATTTGTTGGAATTTATAGAAAATTGTTTTAATTTGTAATAGTTTATTAAAAATAAATATTTGCAAATTGCAGATTAAACATGGGCGTGGACAATAAAATAGACTACAAATGTACCCTCAGTAAAGAAACCCAAGCAATTGCCTTGGCAGAATTGCGTGAAGATGAAAACATGAGAAACCAGTCATTGGAGCAATTCCGAGCCTGGATACTAAAGCACCCTTCAATAAAACACTGTCGTACTGATCCTGAATTTTTGCTCCGATTTTTGAGAACCAATAAGTTTAGTTTGCTCATGGCACAAGACATGCTAAAGCGTTACTTACAAGCCAGACAATTATCTTCCGATTGGTTCCAAAATTTGGACATCGATGATCCTGCTGTTGAAGCTATTATTGACAGCGGTTTTATCTTCCCGTTGCCTGAAAAGGATCAGTACGGAAGACGAGTCATTATGTCGTGCATTGGTAAGCTTCATAAATATTTCATCCACTGAAAAAAAAAAAAAAAAAAAAAACGCTTGATGAATTTTACTGAAAAACAAATGATTCAATTAGGGCAATTCGATCCACATAAATACACCGGCTCGCAAATGATGAGAGCGCAGACTTTAGCATTTGAAGCAGTTATTGGCGATGAAGAGAATCAAGTGCGTGGTTACACGTATGTGTATGACTTTTCTGGGTTGACTATGAGCCATTTGAGCTTGTTTTCATTAACAGAGATTCGAAAAGTGGTTAATTGGATTCAAAATGGGATTCCGATGCAGCAGAAAATGGCGTATTTATTTAATGTTCCAAAGAACGCCACTAAAGTTATAGATTTTTCTATGTCACTTCTTAATGATAAATTCAAGGACAGTATTGCGGTAAAAATTATTTTTATAAATTATAAAATTACGCATAAAAAATATTTTTGATACGACCTGATCTGACTATAAAGCTATAAATAAAAATTAAAAATAAATTAGGACAATTTTTTAAGTTTTTATTTGCCTAGCAATGTTTATAACAATTTAATAATTGTCTTATTAAAAAGAAATTAGTTTGATAGTTGATTAAACTAAAATTCAAAGTAAATTCTTTAAAAGAGTCAAAAAAAATTATTTTTATTACATACTCTAATACTTTATAATCAACTCTCTTCAAACGAGAAGATTCTGCGACTTTGCGCCCTCCGTCGGAGATTTTCAACACTATTTTTTATCGAAAAATTATATATGTCCAAATTTTACCATATCAAACCTTTTATGGCCATCTTAAGTCATAATAGAATATATCAGGCGATATAAAAATTTTTTTTATTGAATATAATCTTAATTGTATTAAAAATCATCTCTTAACTGATATTATTTTTTATAATTAATAGGTTTATAAAAATATGGAAAAGTTAAAAAAAGTAATCGATCCTAAAATTCTGCCCAAAGAATACGGTGGTGATGTACCAATTGCTGACATGATTGGTACGAATCTATTAATTTTTTTTTAATCACAAAAAACTTACATTAGTTTCTTATTTTTTAGCTGCATTTAAGAAAAAATTGCGTGAAAAACGTGAAGAGTTAAAAGCCCTTGATGATATGCACATTGAAATATCTCCAGAAGAACGCAAGTCTTTACTTACAGATATTTCCGAGGGTGTTTCTGGGTCATTCCGCAAACTTGAAGATGAATAAATTATTCATGAAAAAAAAAAACCATTAAAAAAAAAATTTTCGACATAAGTAAATTTGCATGTGTCAAATTATATGTATTAAGTCAATCGATAAATATTAATTTGCAATAAATGAGAAATTGTATCAGATGTATTAAAATTATTTTTCGAATTGAATTTATTAAAAGTATACATTAATTAAATTTCTTAATTATCGGTTGAAGTCAAACACTTTTGTATCTATTTATATCATATTGACCAATTATTGTCAATAATTGATAATTTCTTTTCAAAAAAAAAATTCAGTGAACTGAGTCTCAAACACAGGTGTTTAAATTCAGACTTCTGACTGCAAAATTTGCGAATTAAAAAAAATTTTTTTAATTTGTAACAGTTGATACAAGATGGTTGTGCAAAGCGAAATAAATTACAAGTGTACTCTCAGTAAAGAGACACAGAAAATTGCCTTGGAGGAATTGCGCGAAGATGAGAACATAAGAAACCAGGCATTGGAGCAATTTCGAGACTGGATACTGAAGCACCCTTCTATAAAACGGTGTCGGACTGATCCTGGATTTTTGCTCCGATTTTTGAGAACCAAGAAGTTTAGTTTGCCCATAGCACAATCCATGCTGGAACGCTACTTACACGCCAGACAATTGTCCTCCGAGTGGTTCCAAAATTTAGATATCAACGATCCTGTTATGGAAGCGATTATTGACAACGGATATGTCGTCCCGTTGCTCGAAAAGGACCAGTATGGAAGAACAGTCGTTTTGACGCGTAATGGTAAAGTTCATTTTTGTTTTATACACTGAAAGAAAAAAATCACTTGCCTATATCATTAAATAATTTTGCGTCATTCCGTCAAAAAATTTGTATGTGAAATATTTCGACGTTCTAATTAGCAAACTGTAACTCCATTTTAGAGAATCTTTCATTTGTACGAAAAAACAATTAGTTCAAAATTTATTATCACTTTAAAAAACAATTTAATGTCTAATAGAGGTATACGCGGAGAGAAATTTATAGGAATCTTTCCAACAATTATGGGAATGGATCCTATAATAAAATTATCATTATAGGCATTAATCCTATACTCATTATGGGAACCATACCCATAATTTATTGGAAACGATCCTATACCATAATGGAATAGCTTCAATATACTATGGGAATGGTTCGTATAATATTATGGGAATGACGCACATAATAATAGAAAAAAGTTTATTTTCTTAATAATGAAGCAATCACTTTAAAAATATAAAATAATTATTATGTATTTTTTTGCTAATAAAATTTTTTTTTGTAATTGATTTTAATTAATTTTTAATTAAATTTTTTTTTTTTAATTAATTTTATTTTAATTTATTTACAAGCATGTATACCATTCAAGATTAAAAAAATATCAACTGCTGCAACTGATTAATTTCATAATGATAATAATAATAAATATTATTACTGGTAACTTTTTTTTATCAATTTATATATTATAAAAAAAGAATCACTTAATCAAAAAAAAAAAATAAATCTAGTGAAAAGTAATTAATTAAATACCACAGTTGTGTGAAAAAAAATTACTCCAATATTATTGGCATCATTCCTATAATATTATGGGAATCATGCCATTCCTATATATTATGGGAATAATGCCGTTATTACAGTTATAATTATAGGTATCATTCCTATAATTATAGGAACCATTCCCATAATTATAGTAACGTTCCCCAAAAATTATGGGTATAATTCCCATAATTTAAGTAATAGCTTCTAAAATGGTATAGGAAAATATTTCATTAAAATCAACTGCTGCAACTAATTAATTTCATAATGATAATAATAATAAATATTATTACTGATAATTTTTTTTATCAATTTATATATATATATATATATTATATTATAAAAAAAGAATCACTTAATCAAAAAAAATAAATCTAGTGAAAAGTAATTAATTAAATACCACAGTTGTGTGAAAAAAAATTACTCCAATATTATTGGCATCATTCCTATAATATTATGGGAATCATGCAGATATTACAGTTTTAATTATAGGTATCGTTCCTATAATTATAGAAACCATTCCCATAATTATAGTAACGTTTCCCAAAAATTATGGGTATAATTCCCATAATTTAAGTAATCGCTCCTATAATGGTATAGGAAAATATTTTATTAAAATTATAGGAATGATTTCCATATTTTTCTCTCCGTGTAGTATTTTGGTTTGGATCATTCAAATAATCTATAATTGGACTATTGCTACACGGGAAGAAAATTGAAGGAGTTATTACTATTTTACTATTGTAATTTTTACTAAATAAAATAGTAACGGTGGACTATACTTCTCATTTAATAATTTTTACGATCTACTATTGTAAATTTTATCCAACAAATAAGACTAGCAAGAGTTTTAAAAAGTCGAATATTATAGAGCAAATTATACAATATGTGTTTGTGAACTTTACAATTCAACTATTGTAAAAATTCATAGTTGGTTTTTTTAAAAGAAATATTAGGGAGGGAGAGAGATAGAAAGTTGCACGAATTGGTACCTGTACAGTAATCGAAAAAAGAAACAAATATTTTCGTGCTATCTGGGAATCAAACCTAGAACTCTGTGTTGGTAGCCAGAGACTCTCCCTTTAGGCTACCCGCGGTAAGCCATGTCCTTTAACATTTATATAAACTCAGAGTCTAGCGCTGTGCACGGCCATCACTCACACTAATTGAAAGACATTCCAATTCAACTATTGTAAAATTTGCTATAGTTCTATCGGAAAGATACAGAGGCACCACTGGAAATTTTCATCTCTTACTTTTTACAATAGTAATATCGTATTTTTTCATTAATAAATAGTATTTTTTCTTCTAAAATATTTGATAATTAATAGTAATAAAGGTATAGTCCAGCTTTACAATAGTTGTACCGTAAATTTTTCCAGAAATTTTTTCCCGTGTACCTTAAAATGTTAAAAAATAAGGAGTTAGACCAATTGCTAATTAGACCGTCGATTTAACACTTTTTCATGTTGATTTAACAGAATAAGTGTTATTATTTAAACATAAAAGTGTTAAATATTTAATACAAAAATAATACGCAATGATACAAAATTTTTTACTGTGTATTTTAATGATAAATAATCAAAATTATCAGGTCAAATTGATCCACATAAATACACGAGTTATCATATGGTAAGAGTTCATACTTTGGCATTTGAAACATTGATATCCGACGAAGAGAATCAAGTACGAGGTTACGCGTATATATACGACAATGCTGGAGTAACTATGAGCCACGTAAGCATGTTATCATTCACAGAGATTCGAAACATACTTAGCTGGGTCCAAAATGGGATTCCTATGCGACACAAAATGTCAATCTTGGTCAATGTTCCAAATTACGCCATTAAAGTTATTGAATTTTGCGTGTCGCTTTTCACTAACAAACACCGAGAGAGAATCACGGTAAGGTTTATTTTTACAAGGCTCAATTGAACACGTTGGTCTTTATTCTTTTCATTCAATTGCACTGTAAAAAATTTTTCGCCATTGTGTATAGTGTAAAAATTTGTGGAATGTAACATTCTCATGTGTTTATTTAAGTTAACACACTAAAATGTAATATTCTACACACAAATTTTTACACTTTACACAATGACGAAAAATTTTTTACTGTGTGCTAGATTTGTACAGATGTAGAGGAATTGAAAAAAAAATTCGATCCCAAAATTCTGCCCAAAGAATACGGTGGCGATGTACCACTTGCTGATATGGTTGGTGCGTATCTATTATTTTTCTTTTAATTATACAAAAAATTTACAAGAATAATTCATCAGTTTTTTAATTTTTTTTTTTAGCTGCATTTAAGGAAAAATTGCGTGAAAAACGTGAAGAGTTAATAGCTCTTGATGATATGTACATAGAAGTGTCGCAAAAAAACACGTGTTCACTTACGGATATTTTTGGCGGTGTTTCTGGCTCATTCCGAAAACTTGAAGTTGATTAGAATATTAATTAACTATGTACCCGGGTCGAAAAATTTAAACTGATTTTAAGCTAAATGATCTGAATTTGAACTTATTGACCTGTATTTGAACTTTTAAAGACATTTTCATCTGTATTTGATCTACTATTCAAATTATTTTTGATCGGTTTTAAGTCTAAATAACTTTTTAGTAAAATAATTGAGCAGCTATGAATATTTTATACTGTTTCTAATCTAATGAGACTAAAAAGTTTTAAAAATTTGATCGATTTTTAGTCTAGTTAATTTGTAGATAGATTTTATGTATTGTTTTCGAATTTAATATGAAATCTTATACTGTTTTTGATCTAAAATTTTCTCTAAATGTACGAAGGCCAAAAATCGACTAAGATGGTGACTTATAATTTTTTTGACTCAAAAGTATCTCATTAAAAATTATAAGTCGCATTTATTTGAAAAATTAAATTAATTTAAAATATATTCATGCGCTCTCTTGTTTTATAAACTGAACGTCGATTATAACCTTACATCTGTCATATTTATTTGTCATAGCTTAACATTTCATGGATTATAAAAGTTTTGTAACTGCGAATATTAGTTGCAGTGATAACTAATAAATTTGTATTAACATATGTATAGAAAATAGTTCTCATCGTTTTATTATGGATCTAAATCTAGAATTTTCTAATTATCGATATTAAACACAATGTGAATATATCGACGAGATTAAAATGCTGTCAAGATGACAAGATTAATATTAAATTTAATACCTCCATGCATCATTTAATGAGCGGTATTCACTGTTTGGTAGTGCGAAGAATACCGTTTGGTATATATTGCACTACGAAATAGTGAATGGTCACTATTTCAGTTTCAGAGAATGAAAAGCCGTGCCCTGTAGAGGATCGAGGACATGAATATTATTATCAAATTCGTAAAAGGTCGGTTTTTGATCTACAGGTGATGAAAAACCGACTAAAAATTATGAAACGTTTCGGTCTGTTTTTGACCTTGATGCGATCAAAACCAGCTAAATGATTGTGACAAAAAAGTCTGATTTTGGTCTTGAAACAATAGAAAACAATTTTATTATAACATCAAAAATGATCTGAAATTGGTCTGAATTGGGAATAGTACGGGCAAAAACAGATTAAATTCTTATATAAAATAGATACACATAATAAAATTAAATTGAATGAAAAATATTAAAAATTTTTATTAATCATCATAAAACAGATTAAATTTTTTGACCCGGGTACTGAATGTTTAAGTAAAAAATCTGTTAAAAAATACAAGTGGTTATTATATATGTAAAGAACTTACTAAAAAATTTTGTTTCGATGTCAGTAAGCTTATAAACTTATTAAATCAATTAATAAACAAATCTGTAATAACATATATATGTTTATCACGATAAAAATATCAGTATTTTTTGGGCAAACACCTACATAAGTGCTCAACTTATATAGTAACATTAAGATTTGTAGATCAACAGAAAGTATTCTTATCATAATTTATAATCATAATCATCAAGACATTCCGGACACTTGCGAATGTTAACGTCCTTCTTCATTACTTCCACTCCATTAATTATATTTTACAATTATTACTTCCGAGTCTTTCATTGTTATCAACCGCTATTACCTCCAGCGCCTTGATTATACTTTTTACCATCGTTAATGTCTAATGGTATATTGTAAAGAATGGTCGTTGAATTCGTCTGGATTTAGCATAACTTTATCCACATTTATCAGTTAATATTTCATGAAAATTATTGTCAAATAAAGTCCGCAGAAAATTATATGACGTCTAATTTCTTTTTACCGCAAAATTTTGTTGTTAAAACTGTGCACAGCGAAGAAAGTGTTTTAGCTAGACGTAATTTCATTAAAAGATATTAAGAAGTGGGGTACTGCATAATGATAACGGCGAAACCAGTTTGATAAAAGCTGCTTTATGATCGAATCTTTAAATTTAGTCGCAAACTGGACGTTCATCATCAAGGTAATGTACTTTAATTAATAATCTATCTACTAATTATTTTTCTCCCGTATCACTTATGTGTTACTTAATAGATTAATTATTATTTTTATCGACTTTATGTTTGATCAATTTAACAATCTGCATGCGTGATAAAAGAATTTTTTAACTGATAAATTTGTTTGGAAACAATTTATTTATTGATTAAATACAATCAATTGTTCAACGTCCATAAGTAGACTAATAATATTCACTGCAAAAAATAAATATTTTTTACCACTTAATAAATTGGGTTTAAATAAATAATTTATTAACTTTTAATAATGCAATAGCTTGTAAATTCAATATTAAAAAATTCTTCTATCAATGTATAATTTTTGGCTAAATGTACATGATAAAATTAAAAAGTAAGATAACATTAATGTCAAAGGTGAATCTAAAATAAAAAAAAAAACATCTAAAAGAGTAAAAGACATTAAAATAATCATAATTTGTTGTGAACACAGTTGGTTAAATATTAACTTGACATTGGAAAATTTATTTAAATAATTTATTTTAGCAACAATATTTAATTTCTTATCGTTAATATTTATTGCGAAAATTTGAATTAAATTGACCGAAATTCGAGACACTATGACGCAAAAAAGATTGCGATGATACTTAAATTATCATTTAAAAATTTTTGCCGATCATCAGTTAATCAATGCTGTTGACATGTAAAATTGATGGAACAGTTTTAAATAATTTTTTAATTACAAATTGCAGATTGAAAATGGTCGTGGACAATAAAATAGAGTACAAATGTACCCTCAGCAAAGAAAACCAAGCGATTGCCTTGGCAGAATTGCGTGAAGATGAGAACATAAGAAACCAGTCATTGGAGCAATTCCGAGCCTGGATACTAAAGCACCCTTCAATAAAACGTTGTCGTACTGATTCTTTATTTCTGCTCCGATTTTTGAGAACCAAAAAGTTTAGTTTGCCCATGGCGCAAGACATGCTAGTTCGTTATTTACAAGCCAAACAATTGTATCCCGAATGGTTTAAAAATTTGAACCTCGATGATCCTATTATGCAAGGAATTATTGACAGCGGATTTGTCATTCCGTCTTTGGAAAAAGATAAGCAAGGAAGACAAGTTCTTTTTAGTTTTCATAGTAAGTTTTATTATATAATTTAGAAAATCAAAAAAATGATTTGACCTAAATTTTAACTTTGTCTTAATTTGACATTTTTTTTTTTGGTGATTGTTAATTTTTTATTCAACGTTTTTGGAAAAATTTTACACTATTCATTTAATTATTGATAATTGGTCCTGTTAATGCAACATTACTGTTAAAATTTATATCAAAACCTCAACTACAACATTGATTAGAAATAATAATGACTGCAGGTTGCTAGTTAATTAATAACTATGATTAACAGATCGAATTGATCCATCTTTATATGGATCGAAGGAAATAACTCGACTCTTTGCTTTAACGTTTGAAATGTTCATGGACGATGAAGAGAATCAAGTCCGCGGTTACAAGCACGTGGCAGAAGCTTCTGGGGTAAGCTTAGCCCACATGACTGCTTGGTCATTGACAGATATAAGGATATTGTTTAGATGGCTCCAAAATAGCACACCGATGCGACATAGAGAAATGTGTTTCATCGGTATGCCGAGTTTCGCCTTTAAAGTTTTTGAGTTCGTTTTATCACTCATGAGTGAGAAACTCAGGAGTAGAACATCGGTAATATTTCAAGCAATATTTTTTTACCTTCATTACTATTGTAGACTTCTTTGTATTGGTTTTTTTCATTTTAGATTTTTAAAAATATCAAAGATTTCAAGAAAACAATCGATCCTAAAATTCTACCGAAAGAGTACGGTGGTACTGTACCACTTGCTGATATGCTTGGTATGTAATTATCATCACATATCTTAAAAATTACTAATAAAAATTTTATTATTGATAGTTTACTTACAACAATTATATGTAATTTTTTTAGCGGTATACAAAGAGAAATTGCGTAAAAAAAATGAAGAAATAAAAGCCCTTGATGATATGTACATCGAAATATCACCAAAAGAAAAGTCTTTAATTTCGGATAACTTCGGCGGTGTTTCGGGCTCGTTTCGAAAACTCGAGATTGATTAGTCACAAAAGTTTTGCACAAGGTTGTAGATTTCTGCATTAAAAGCGACAGTCATCATGATGGTATATAAATAAATAAATAAATTTAATTATGAGATATCGTTTGATTGAAATAAATGATAGTAATTTATTGTAATTGTTTATGAAAGATAGTTATTGTAAAAAACAATTTTAAATAACAAAAAAATTTTAATTTGGTTTTATTATAAATAATGTTGTAATTTTAATTTTAATAAAAGTGACAAACCTTAAAGTGTACTTGTATTCCAATTATGTTTCCATGAAATAGATAGCGACATCCTTACTGAAGAAAAAAACCCACTGAACAGACGCGGGTTTGAATCCCTGCGGTTACAAAAGAGATTAATTAATCTGTTATAAAATATTTCTCTACATAACGAATAACGAGACGCTGCTGAGTATTTTTAACAATGGTAAACTGAAAACATGATGAAATAATGTAAAAAAAAGAATTAATATGCAAAAACTTCATACAATATTGACAATAATTAAAACAATTATTTTCCATACAATTGGACACAGCTTTATCAACGAAATAGACTATATATATTGTGCCGTTGAACTCAATCGAATAAATCTTTTTTGTGATCAACTGTTACAATTTAGTGATTAAGGATTCGTGAATCGTGAAGGTAACTCGTGTTTTGTGCTGCAAAATTTAACCAAGCAAATTTGTTAATTTATTTTGTAAGTTATCACGTTATATCCTCTTAAATATCATTTTTTAATGATAATTTTATACAGTATTGATTTTCTTGAACATTTTTAAATAAAATAAATTTATAAATAAGCTTTTAAAGGTTGAGATTTTTATTTTAAATTTTTAACAAATTTTGTGTCCCAATTTTTTAATTAGCTACTAACAAAACAAAAAAAGATAAGCTGTTCTGTCTTTTAAATTACAATATAAAAATAATAATAACTAAAATAAAATTAAGATATTTAAATTTCTTTACAAAATTAAAATGTTATATCACAAGTTCAAAATTTAAAAATCAGTGTAAAAATTTTTAACCACTGTCTTATTCGATTGTAGATAATAAAAAATAGTTATGGACGACGAGATTGATTACAAGTGTAGTCTCAGTGAAGAAACACAGGCGATTGCTTTGGAAAATTTGCGTGAAGATGATAACATAAGCAGGAACCAAACGTTGAAGCAAAGAATAGTATCCGAGCCTGGATACTAAAGCACCCTTCAATAAAACGTTGTCGTACTGATCCTTTATTTCTGCTCCAATTTTTAAGAACCAAGAAGTTTAGTTTGCCCATAGGACAACCCATGCTGGAACGCTACTTACACGCCAGACAATTGTCCTCCGAGTGGTTTCAAAATTTGGACATCTATGATCAAGAAATAGAAGCGCTTATTGACAACGGATATATCTTTCCATTGCTTGAAAGGGACCAATATGGAAGACAAGTAATTTTGATTAATACTGGTAAAGTTTATTTTCAATCTTTGCAGCTACTTAATTGATAAATAATAAAAATTCACAGCTCGAGCCGATCCATATAGATTCGGGTCTAAAGAAATAATTAGAGCCTACAGTATATTAGGTGAACTATTAATGGACATTGAAGAAAATCAAGTCCGTGGTTATACGTATGTGCATATTTTGACCGGAGCAACCATAGCTCATGGGACTGTTTGGTCTTTGTCAGACATGCGGAACTTTTTTAAATGGATGAAAAATGTCTCACCGATACGAAATAAGCAAATTAACATCGTCAGTGTTCCAAACCATATCCGTAAAGTTTTGGACTTTATAATAAATAATAACGTTTGTAAGTGAAAAACTTAGGAATAGAATTAAGGTAAAAATTATTTTATTAACTGAATTTTATTAATTTATTGAGCCATAATTATTTGCCCATTATTATTGAGAAAAGGTAGGTAAAAAAATAAATTAGTTTGTTTTGCTCCCTTTTCTTCTTTCGAGCAAGTTATATTTTGTAGTTTACATATGTAAAACATAGATGGTGCAATTTTCCAGATCTTCTTTAATATATCCCGATTTTGGTTGGATTGGTTTAAGCCAACGCCTTGTATCTTTTCTATTATTTTAATAAAAAAAAAATTATATATTCAGATTAGATAAAATTAAAAAAAGTTTGGAAAATCCAAAAGTGCACGCCTCATAATCTCATTTTTTAAAATAAAATATAAAAAGCAAAATAATAAAAAACAGAAAACACTGCTGGTGGTTTAGTGGCGCCATAACTGCAAGGTGAGGAAAAAAAATACTAAAATAAAATGTCTAGATAGAAATACAAAAATATCCACAGTCATATATTAGTTTTTTATAAATAATAACTTAATGACAGTGAATTGAACGCTCATATTAACTAAGAAATTCTGTCGTGTGTTACTTTAGATAATTCAAAAAAAATTATTCCGGTACGATCATTTTTTCGACCAATTTCTCTGCCACATACACCCATTCATCCACGGACGTCCAAAAAAGATTATGTTTAATGTTATTATTTATTATGTTAAACAAAAAAATTGTTATTGAAATATATTTTATGTACTTGAAAAATTATTTGACTTGACATAAGTGTAATCATTTTAACCTGTAAGTGCGATATAAATAACAAAAAATCAATTTCAGTTTCGAGAAAACTGCTTTTTTCGAAATGTCGAGAGTAGAGCACAACCTCAACGCTTCGCTTATGAGGCGTGCAATAAAGTGAATTATCATTATTCACTTTCGTTAATAGTTAATCTGATTTGTTTTTTATTTTTTAGTTCTATGAAAATATAGAAGACTTCAAACAAAATATCGATCCTAAAATTTTGCCTAAAGAATTGGGCGGTGACATACCGGCCGCTGAAATGATTGGTATTTTTTGTTTATTTATTATTATTTGTAACAGAAAAAATTGATTATACTTATGAAATTGATAAAAAAATTTTTGCAGCTATTTTTAAGAAAAAGTTGCGTGAAAAACGTGAAGCATTACTGGCTCTTGATGAAATGTACATTGAAGTATCGGTAGAAACCAGGTGTTCATTATCTTCGGATGGTTTCGGCGATATTTTTCCGGCTCCTTCCGAAAACTCGAAGTTGATTCAAATAAATTAATTCAATTTTAATATTATTGTACGTTTTATATTAATTTTTTTCGATAATAATTAAAATATTGATTTTTAATTGGATAAAAAAAATTTCTAAAACTCACGTTATAATTTTATAGTATTTATTTTTTATTAATTAATCAATTAATCAGACATTTTCCTAAACTAATTATCTACAATTATAAAACAATTATTTATTAAATAACAAAAAATCTTTAAAATATCACACGTGTACATTATTTATCTATAATTTTAATAAAAAACATTTACACCATTAAAAGTAACAATGCTGATAAGTTAACTCTCCAAGGTAAGATTGATATCAATGATATCTACAATGGAATAAAAATGGTTCTGTTTTTTCACAAGGTGATAACGGTAATCTCATCTACTCTCTTATCCCTCAGGTGCAAATAAAGATATAATCAACTGTTTATAATAATTAATAATTAATAATGACCATGACTAAATATTATATTAACAATAATCAAAAAATATTTTTTGTTTGATTATTACTATTAATATTATTTTATAAAACTTTATAATAGAATATTATTATTACTAATTGATGTCACTAATTTAGTATAAAGTTAGTATTGTAAAGAAACAGAATTAGTTCTTGCGCATGTGCGAATTAGCTATACTTCCTAATCATGTTAATGTTAATAAATTCATTTATTTGTAAATAATTTACTAAATATAAATACATTTATTTATTAAAAATCAATATTTGGTGTTTAATAAATAAGTTGTTAACTGTTAATAAATATTTTTTAAATCATCTAATGCTAAAAAATCATTTATTAACAATTAATTAATTTATTAATTATTAAAAATCCTTTTATCACTGTATTTAAAGAAAAAACTAATTTTTTAACTAAAAAAATGCCATTTTCAAGTATAGTCAGTGTCTATATTTACTAGTGTTGCCATCTGTCGGAAATTCCGGAAAACGTTTTCTATGGATAAGAAAAATAATTTTTTTCATGTAAAAATCTCAAACTTTTACGTAAAAAAATTTTACTAAAAAAAAATAAAACTTCATTAAAAAATTTCTATTAAAACTGTAAAATTTTTCTGCTAAAGGATTTTATATCTTACAAGAAACTCAAACATTAACTTATGTCTGTTGTACTCACTAATCATGGTTTTACTAATTTAATTAACTTCATTAAATACTAGAATTAATAATTAGCCTATAGTCTAAAAAGCGGCACTAAGCCGCTTAGATTTGTCAGTGAACACATGTAGGAAGATTTACTTGGAAAAAGACATTGAGTTCAGTGAGAGAAGCTATCACAAGGAAGCATGCGTACATGAACAGACAAGTAAAACCAACTTTACGGTCAAGTCTGAATTTGTTGCATGCAAAAGCTACGTAAAGTAAGATTAACGTTGAAAAGAGTGATATTGAACTGTAAACAAGTCCTTCGGAGTTTATTTGAACGTAATGCAGTCCCGGATTCTTTGGTACAAATGCCGCTTTTATAAACCAAGGCAATCCCAGGCATAGAAGTATATCAAAGACATTCGAGCCAATCGAATTACTGATTCCCATGGTACCGTGTCCTGAAGATTCATTAAATATTTTTAAATTTACTTCTTAGTTATTATGACTATAATTAGCTTTATTGACTATTGATTATTGATTACCTTGATTTGTTACGATGACGCTGGAAACTGCTTCGGGAACACTCATCCCAGCGGCAAGAAAGGTTAAACCCATTACTGAGTCTGGAATCTCCAGAGTATCACCTATAATTGACAACGAAGTTAGGTTTCCGCTTTATATTTATTGGGGATTTTATTTCTGTTTTATAGCAAGACTTATAATGCAAAGGTCTACGATTAATGAAAAAAAAAAAAAAAAAAAAAAAAAAAAAAAAAATTATATTAATTTGAATTTTAAATTTATTACAAAAACAAATCATTTTATATTTAACTAATAATTTGGAAAATAAATTGATTAAATGAAGTTATTTCTATTATATTAGATACATTTTCTTCTTTTATATTCCAGGAATATAAATAAGCAATATAAAAGAAATGACCTTGTATTTTGTGAACTATTGACATTGTTAAAGATATAAGCTCATCCCGAGGTTACACTCATCGAGACCTTTCATTTGAATACCCACATCAATTTTTCATATATTTTATATATTTATATATATTATATATTTGTAAATATGAAAAATATACCAAAAATGCAAGTACCAAAATATAAGCAATGAGCTTATATTTTTAAAAAGGTTAATAATTAAGAAAATACAGTGGAATTTAACAAAAGTCATTTAGTCAATTTAATTTAAATAAATCTATTATATTTACCTATAATTGTAATATCCCAGCCAACGACGAATGACATAGAAGCAATCCACACGATGCACATTAAAAATGTCACAGGATACCAAGACTTAAGCGACTTCCTCCGACAATCTGGGATCGTTATCAGCAATACAAAGTTTATCGGCCACGTTAGCATCCACCACAGCTTTTCCCAAAAGGAATTCGGCCAATTGGTCAAGTTGACGATTTCAAGGTCCTCGTCTTCGATTGGCTCAAAACTGTTAACTTTTCCGTTCTCAAAATCTGTGAAGTGTATCAAAAAAATTTGAATTTATGTAACCTTATTTATAATTATGAATTTTTGGGAAATACTTACGTTTCGGTAACAAAGAACTGTTGTCCAAATTTTTATACTCTTTTCTTTTGGACACCATTGAGCCCATACACTTGCTGATACGCTTGTTGAAGTACATTGCTAATTTATAAGCCAAAAAAATTATTAAAGATCTAATTATTAGTCTAATCTGCTGCTCTAGTTAGAATTATTAAAATCTCGAATCAATTTTTGACCACAAATCAAAAATCTATCCTCTATATAATGATGCAAAAAGCGACTACGTCGCTCTCAAATGAAACTAATTGAGACTAAACTAATATTTAATGTTGTATTGATCTCCCAAATTACAATTATAAAGTAAATGTTGGCTTAGTCTCAATTAGCTTTATCTAAAGCTTACTGAGTAGCTTTTGTACGTTATAATTATAATTATAATTAGTAATAATTAATTATGATAATTATTACACTAAAAAAAAATTCCTGATACGAGAGAAATATTTTTGATTTAATAAAAAAATATAAATCGAGACTTGAATGATTTAAATTAGAGTCAATTAAAGCTAAAGCTTGAGATAACGTTTTGCTAAATTAAGTAAACAAAATTAAATTGAAACTTACTCAAAATATACAACACATAAGTGATAACGAGGATCAACCCTTCATACCATTCGACTCGCCCGTCACGAAACACTAAAATAAGCAAACCAACAGTGATTGCATAAGCCAGAGAATCTCGACTTACTGGCCACCAATCGAGCTCCAGCGCCTAGTTGAGTAAACAATGCATAAATAAATATTGAAAATGAATTTTTAAAAATAAAAATAGGGCTTGAAAATAATAAATATCACCTGGCTTGCAAAAAGGCCACAGCATGCTGGAACCGCGAGAATATTAAACACCGCAGAGCCAACAATTGTACCAATTCCTATGTCACCTTGGGTTACAAATGTTCCCACGACATTTATAAATAATTCGGGGCTGGATGATGCTGCTGCCATAAATGTTGCGCCAGCAACGTCTTCTGATACATTTAATTCTTTAAAAAGTAAGTTAATAGGTAATTTTAAAAATTATTTTTCCTTTGAGGGCTTATGTTATGTATAATAGAGAAACCTGCTAACATTTGCTTTTAGAAAAAATCTGAATTCATTTTTATATAAAATTAAGTTTGTATTTTTTTTTTTAAATCTTTATTATTAAGAAATGACCTTGTATCTCGTGAACTATTGACATTTTTAAAGATATAAGCTCATCCTGATATTACACTCATCAAGACCTTTCATTTGAGTACCCACATCAATTTTTTATATATTTTATATATTTATATATTTTATAAATACCATATATATAAAATATATGAAAAATGCCATGTGGGTACTCAAATGAAAGGTCTCGATGAGTGTAACATCAGGATGAGCTTATATCTCTAAGATGTCAATAAAGAAATGATCTTGTATCTTGTAAACTATTGATATTTTTAAAGATATAAGCTCATCCTGGTGTTACACTCATCAAGAGCTTTCATTTGAGTACCCACATCAATTTTTCATATATTTTATATATTTATGTATTTCACAAATATCATATATATATATAATATATAAAAAATGGCATGTGGGTACTCAAATGAAAGGTCTCGATGAATGTAACATCAGGATGAGCTTTAAAATGTTAATAATTAAGAAATGACATTGTATCTTGTCAACTAATGATATTTTTAAAGATATAAGCTCATTCTGATGTTACACTCATCAAGACCTTTCATTTGAGTACCCACATCAATTTTTCATATATTTATATATATGTATGTATGTATAAAAAATATATTAAAAATACATGTGGGTACTCAAATAAAAGCTCTTGATGAGTGTAACATCAGGATGAGCTTATATTTATAAAAAAAGCCAATATTTAAGAAAGTACAGTGCAATTTAACAAAAGTCATTATTTAATTAAAATCAACAAGAATAAATTATCCCTGTAAATAATGTCCGTGCCCTAATTTATCTTAAAAAAAAAAAAATATACTTACTCTCGCATATTTTCGTAATCGAAGGAACAAAAAAGTCATCGCAAACTACTGCAAGCAACAAAAATAAATAAATCGCAAGAACAATATGAATTACTATGAATCCAGAGCGTCTTTGTTCGGCAGTAAAACCGTCCGATGGAAATTCATCGATCGCTGGCGCAATACATTGATTGCTTCTGTTTACCTCTGGCTCTTCAACTTGCATTAATTTACGTAATCCTAAAAATAAATCACTTTCAGTCGGACAAAAATTTCAGTCAAGCAAAAAAATTATTCTTTTTTTTTATAAATCTAGCAGAAATAAAAAAAACATCCACTTAAGCACCTTATGTATTCAGATAGCGATATTTTTTTTATATCACTTATCGATAAAATTATTTATCTCTATTCAGCATGAAAACAAAACTTTCCGATACTTTTACTGCATCAGATAAATAAATAAAAAATATAAAATTAATGTTTTGAACTTACGGATTTCATTTTTTCCAAATATTTCAGGGTCTAATTCCGTACTTTTGACTTTGAAAAATCCACTGAGACTAATACATGCAAAATAAACCGTAGGAATACCGATAACCAGTAGCATGCGGTAGAATATTAAATGTTTATGGCGTTTTGTCATATCTTTCGATGGTTCAGCGGCCCAACAAAGGTAATTTTAAAAATAATTAAAAAAATCAAAACAATTTACTAATTACAAATTTTTTTGACTGTTAGCACCTTGAAGTTCTAGCAGCTACTGACGGAAGAAGGGACGTTCGTGAATAATTCTTTTAAATATCGAGTCATTATCTTTACGATAAGATAAACCAGAGTACGAGAGGCGTCAGACAAACTAAACTATCCCTTGATCGATTCTGTCAGAAAAACAATCCTCCTTCTACCGTCTACCGTATCGTTGATTTTTAACGTTAAATATTTATCTTCTATCAATACTTCGGAAAACAATAATAAATAATAAATAAATAAATAAGCAAATATCTTGACGGATATATCATTTTTTTTAACATAATATTTAATACTTAAGAATTTGAACGCGTTTTTGTGCTCCAGGATAATAAACGAGGACGTGGAAGCTTGCCAACGCACTTTTGACCGCAATGCACCATTTTTTTACAACGACCTTGAATTGTAAATACACTTGTTTTGGGTTTATACAAATATGTATAGTATAATTAAATTTTCCCTTTGATTTTATTTTAATTTTTTGTAAGCGGGTTTTGGCCTTTGAAATGTAGATCAAAGAAGACGGAGCTTAAAGGAGTGTCGAATAAAGTTGAGAATATAATTGAAGTCGGTCAACGCCCCAGCAATGAGATTAACCTAGCGCACCGTCAATCACTATCAATTGTGTAGGTAATTTTTATTTAGAAGATTTTATAAAAATTTATTGAACTGTTGATTTAATTAAGTGAAAATTTTGATAAATGTTTTTTAACCTCGAAAAAGTATCTGAAATTTTTTAATTATATCTTAAAATATTTTTTATACATATAAATTTTCTTTTATTACTGATTTACATTTGTATAAATCATCACTTGCTTTACATTCCCGCTGCATTGTTCACTTTTATGCCGCTAATTACGATAGAAATATACATAAAATATATACAAAACATGTATAAAATACGCCACACTTTTGATATTTATGCGACTTTGTTAACTTTTACTCAAACTTTCCTTTTTTCTTTTATATTATTTTGTTATTGATAAGACAATGTGATATTATTTAAAGAAAAAAGTAAATACAATGTGACGTTGCTATGAGCATATATATATATAGGATCGTGGAAAATGAAATTTTTCCGACGGGGGTTCTCAGAAAACTTGAAGGTATGAACGTATTATGTTTTCAATGGACAAACATCTACAAATCTGTTATCTTATTACTATTGTTATATGTATAATGTGATGTATAGATCATCATTGATTACCGCTGATAATTAAACTGAAATTGAATTTTGGAGAAGTATAATATCATTTACTTTAATATCGTCGTAGAATACTAATTAGTTTAATTTTTAATTTTTATTTATAAAATGTATTGTACTTAAAAGTTAATTTTTTCAATTATAAAACTAAATGTTTGTTTTAAACTGTAATTTTCGGGCTATTATTCTTGCTAAGTTTTGTAATTTTTGAAGCTGACTATAAAAATAATGCATACAAAAATTGGCGAACTAGCTAACGATGTCCGTGCGTTTGACTTTTACTAGAATGTACTTAAATTAAAGGTTAAAAGTTTTAAAAAGCTAAGTAAAAACGATTGCTGTAAATATGTCACATAATTCTATTTTTATAACCCACTTTACGTATTGTTTTTATATTTAAGTTGTAACTGTTGAGGGTTTTAAGGGAAAACAGTGAAAAACAATGTAAAATGTCAATTTAATGAATAAACGCCAAATTGCAATTATATTTATTTGTAACTGAAGTTTTTTTTCTATTAATACAAGCAGAAAAACTCATAAATAAGAGACATTCAATTTTAATCAAACTGCCACAGTATAAACAGCTTTCAAACTTAATAAAAACTTTCAGCGCATCCATTTTCGGTGAAAATATACGCTAGTATCTTTAAAAATAAACCTTTATCGCTATTATTATTATTATTTTAAATTCTACAAACAAATTTTTAATTCAACTTATTAAATTCAATAGAGCGTATGTAATTGAATTTATTAAAAAGTTATAAACTAACTGAATAATTAAATTCAACTGACCATTCTTTTGTTATTTTAAATTTACTTTTGCATAAATATAAACTTGCTAACAACCAATCGATTATTTACAACCTTTTTATAAGCTCTAAATATAACTCTGAGTAAAATAATAATGATTTGCTATTTTTTTTTCTCAGAAAATATAATTTTTTTACATAATTGCCGACATATAAGACACAAATTTTTTCTGTAAAGGTTTTTATGAATTAATAAGTACACAGTAAAAAATTTTGCGCGCAAAAACTGATAAAAGGATTTCTTAGTATTTAAAAAATCATTTCTTAAACATAATTTCCTAGTATTTAAAAAATATTTCTTAGTATTTACAATATTTCTTAGTGTTTAACAAATATTTCATAATATTTACAATGTTTCTTAAATACTAAGAAATAATGTTTAAGAATTGATTTTTTAAATACAAAGAAATTTTTATATTAAATATTTAACACTTTTTTGTGTTGATTTAAATGATTTAAAAGATTAAATGTTAAATTTACACATAAAAATTTTTAACACTAAGTTTTTTAATGCAACTACACAAAATTTTGTACTGTGTATTTGGTGGTTCTAAAACAAATATTAATAAATGTAAAAGATGCTCCTAAAGCATCGGTGTCCGTAAAATGCACTCTACATAAGTACATAACGCAGTAAATTATAAGGCAAATTGTCAAAGTGGAATGGTCAAAGTTAAATGGGTTCGACTGAGAGCAATAGATAAAGTACATCTCTAAGTCTATGCAGTCCACTCGGTAGCTTCACTGATCGTCTCTCAGTAATCGCTCCACACTCGTCGCTTAGTTGTCTCTGACAAATCCAACAACCGTCAAAAAAAAATCAACTATTAATTTTAAATCCAACTTAACTCTTGAGACTTTATATAGAAAAAAAAATATTTTCCAAAGGACTGTAATTAAAATTCGGCTCGCGTATTGCCAGAGACAAAGAACTAAGAAAGACACTCAACTATCAGCTAAATAAAATAGAAGCTAGAGCAAACCTAAGGCCAGTATTAGAGAGACGAAAAGCGAGATAATAGTGTAAAAAAAAATATTTTTTCAAGCGATCGAAACGCTCAACTGGTAAACCACTCAAAGGGAGGGGCATGCAATTTAACAAACGATGTCGGACTTCGGAGTAGTTGTTAATGTAGTATGTGTGTGACAACGAGATTGACAACATGGATACGTCTGACCTAGGAGGAGGTTCGTGTTTTTATAAATTTCATTTTTTTTATCCTTTATCGCTCCTTTCTTTTCCGGCATTCAAAAATTTTTTTCACTTTGTAAAACAAATCTCAAATTAATCCTGCAGAATTTTTTTACCCCCCAAAACATTAATTTTTTTTTTTTAAATAAAAGAAAATAAATTAAAAAAAAAAAAAAAAAAAAAAAATAGGAAAAAAATGGAAAGTTGATTTTTGGAAAAATAATTTTTGAAAAAAAAATAAATTTTTTTATTGTTAAATTAATGTACAAAGTTTACTCGTGACCGTGTCAGTTAATCTTTAATGAGAGAAACGGATTACAATTAATTGAGGGCACAAAGTCGGCATAGTGTCAAAGGAAATGATTGAAGAAGCTTGCACGTGATGAATTGAGTAGGTTATTAAAATTAATAAGATTATTGTAATTAATAAATAGCACGAGTGCAAAGTACACGAGACCTTAGTAATTATCTATTTTTTTTTTTACTTTTATTCGCTTGATTTTTAAATCGTTTTTGAGGGCAGTAATTTTATTTCTGGGTCCATTTTTTTTAAACTATTGTAATAACTTCTTAACATATTGGTCTTTGGATGAGCACGTCGTGGTCGGTCTAACCAAGTTGTTGAGTAGTGTTATACCCAGTTTATACGACGTACATTAGGCATGAATGGCATCTACTCTGGTCAGTTGAATGAGAGCAATTTAACTTCTTTAGGTTGCTTAATCGGTAGGAAGTCACATCAGCCACATAGGTATATAAACTTTGCACTGACCACCTTCACATTCACAACGTCTGTCTCTGAGTATTTTTATAAAAATAATAAATAAATTTCTTGTATCAATAAAATTAATAAAAATTAAAATTTTAGAGCTGGATTTTTTTTCTTTCTTCAAAATCGGTATTAAGAGGTAATTATTATTAAAAGGTCCGAATAAAAAAAAATTGAACAAAAGTTAATTATTTTTTACCTTTAGTCTCTTGAGCTTAAGGAGTTTCTGGGTCACCGCGAAGATTATTAGCACGCTTTGCGCCTCCAGGCCATGCGTCAACCTATTAAGAATGTAATAGTGTCCTCTCCTTCCTTAACGTACTTTAAATAGAATAAAAATGACATTAAAGATGATCAAGCTTGGGAAAAAATCATAAACTTTTGTATTTATTGAATCACGAGGTTGTCTTTGAGCTTTTGGGCTCAATAGGGAGAAGATTGTTCTGTTAGCCAATAAGCAGAATCCCTGATCATTTGAAGATCTATGTGTTTGGTGTAGGATTACGTAAAACGGAATTCCACGGCTTCCGTTTCTGGGAGTGGAGCATCCGCGAGAACAGAATTCAATAGCGGTGATAATAATTATCTGACTAGTAAACTCCCGCGAGTGTGTCTAATTATTGACCCGATTTTATGTATCACCTTTCACAGGCACAAGAGTGTTTCAGTTTGGTTTATTTTATTCGGGTAAGATGTTAGGGGGATTATTTTGTACCTAATGCAATATTTTTTGGGGGAAATTGTCATTTAATATTTTAAAATTTTTAATATAAGAAAAATTGAATAAATTAAAAATTTTATTTGTGGATACATGAGATTTGTTTTTATTTTTTTAACACGTGTTAGTTACATCAATAAATATATTATAAATTTTTTTTTAATAATTTGAAAATAATCTTATTAAATTTATAAAAAATCCATCTAAATTATTCTATGATTTATTTTTAACTTTTAAAAAAAATTATTATGTAAAGTATAAGGTCATAATTTGTAACCTTTGAATTTTAAAGGTAAAAATTATATTGTACTTTGGTATGAATAATTATTATTGCTAAAAAAATGAGATTTTTCTCTAAAAAAAATTTTTTTTTAGTATTGTACACTGAAAAAAAAATTAATTTGATCCGAAAGAAAAATTCTTTAATCAAGTAAAATTTACTTAAACCAAGAAAAATTTATTGGATTAAGAATTTTTCTACTCAAATAAGAAGATTGAAATTATATACTTGATTCAAGAACATTTTTTCATGTTCAAATAAAGGAAAATCTTAACGCTGCAAAACTTTAATTTATGAATTAATTAACATGGTTTAATGTACAGAACAAAGAAGCTCTCTATTTTGCATGTTTACCAAACTTTTAATTTAATACAAGCTACGCTTTAATAAAGCGGGTAATTATTTTCAAATCCAAATAAAAAAGCTCATTATTACCAACTTAAAGCATTACCTTGATCACTTATATCATTATTAATTTCAATTGTTCATCACCAGAAAAATAATTATGTCAAAAAGAAAAATATTGACATCGATACTGTCGAAATTTAGTACTTGACAGGGTGTAATATATTTATCTAGTGAATATTAATGGCCTCATTGACCTGAGTATCATCCGTACACACTGTTAGCGCATAAAATTCGATGATATTAATTGTATTGGATTTTTATCAAACGGTAGGCTGGGTCCGAATGGGAAAGTGTGAAATGTTTATAATTTATTGCGTTTTATTTTGTATAAATGACATAATGTTAAAAAAATTTGATGTTTTGTAAATAAAATAAACATTTTTACAAAAATTGTAGGGGTTAATTGTACACCACCGGCAATTGAGGACTTTCCACATGACCTGTTTGATGAGAAACAACGACAAGAAGGGGCCGTGGTTGTTCACGTCATCGTCTCTCTTTACTTGTTCATCGCTTTAGCAGTAGTATGCGATAAATTCTTTGTACCTGCAGTAGAAAAAATATGTCATGGTAAGATTATTTTCTTTTTTGGTTTTTATAATATAATAATTCATTAAATCAGTCGGAAAAATTTTAATATTAAAAATTCATCAATTATTAATTAAAAAAATTACAGAAAAGCAAACACATTGAAGAAATATCGCTATTCAAAAATTTTATGACTTCAAAAATTACAATTAAATTTATTAATTGCCATTATTAATTTTAACACATATTCTCGTTAATATTTTCTAATTTAAAAGACAAAAAATATTTATTAAATAAAAAATTTATTTATTAAATTTTTTTGTATTAAAAATATTTCTTTTGAATCAAGTCGTAATTATTTAGGGTTGAATTAAATTATTATTTAATAGTGAGAAAAAAGTATATATTTAAAAAAATTTTAATTAATTAGCAATTTTTAAATTGATTGTTACAGCGCTTTGTTTTTAAATGCGTAAATTATGTTTGAATATAAATGCAATCAAGAAGAGAGATTATTTAAATTTCAATTATTTATTCAATTAAGTTTTCGACGGTAAAATAATACTGTAATTAACTCGGATTATATTTTTAATTATATAATATTTTTTAATGCTCATGCATACAAAGTTATTATAAAGTACACACGGTTGATTAATTAAAAATAAAAAACAAATAAATCATACGTAATTTTAAATAAATTTCAAAAAAAAAAGCTCCTTAAAATTTGTGAATTTTAATCACTAAATTTTTGATGCAAATTGAAAAATAACTCTTAGAAATTTAAGAAAATACAAGTGAACAGAAAACAAAGTATAAAGTATAATAATGAAAGCTAGAAAATTCTCAAAAGGAAAAAATAAAAAAATTGTGAGACTTTTTTTAGAAAGAATGTCAAAGGATATCGAGGACAGAGAAGCCTTTGATATATAAAACAATTTAAAATAAGTATCGTTTCAAGAAAACGTTAGCATGACGAAGATTACTAACAAAATCTAAAGTTTCCGTCCTACTAAATTGTGCAATTTTATTTAATTGCTTGTGTCAACACCTCACTGGCCTTTATCCGTTTATCTAATAAATCTAATTATTAATAATGACAATAGTTGACTCACTCTTTTAAATTTCAGTCGTTCATTAAAAGAAAGTGGAAATTTTAAAACTTTATACAATTATAACTTTATAAATTTACAAAATTTTTTTTTCATTAATTTTCTAAATAATTAATTATTTTAAAAGTAAAATTATCTTGAAAAATTTCAAAACAATAGAGAAAAAAATTTTTAAAAATCAATTGTTTTTTCTAATTAATTTAAAGACAGAAAATTAAGCAATGATATTCAATACGGTCCTTCATATTGACAAAACAAATCTACAAAAAAAAAAAATTGACTTAATTGAATGATATTTCTTCGAGTTATCGCGTTTCCAAATTCTACAAAATTAAAAAAGAGTTTTTTTGTTTTGTAATTTTTTTTTAGATAAAAAATGGATTTTTATTTAATTATTTATATTTTACAATAAGACCAAATAATAAAAATATAATATTAATAATTTATTTTACTAGCATTGTCAATGTCAAAAGATGTAGCTGGCGCGACATTTATGGCAGCTGCAACATCCGCACCAGAATTATTTGTCAACGCGATTGGGACTTTTATTACCGAAGGTGACATCGGTGTAGGAACGATAGTAGGATCAGCAGTCTTTAATATTTTAGCAGTTCCTGCTTGTTGTGGGATTGGCGCCGGAATGGTGAATGTATTTTATTTTTGTTTTTTTAAGCCATTTCATTACTTACGAAATCGAGTGTTTTATCATGGAACGAAATTCTTTTTATAAATTTTATAAATAGTAGCAGCAAGATTTATCGTAATACCATTAGTTACTCGCTCTTGAATGCTCAACACCTTCTACTGAGTATTTACACCAGCCTCAATTATTTAGTTGTTATTATGTCACAAGAACAGTACTCGAGGATCATTACCGGCACAGTGGCGAGATTTAAATACAAACTCAAGTTCTAACACCGCAGATTTCAAATGAATCTTTAATATTTTTATTAAATACATGCTCTTAAACTTTAACCCTTTAATTACACTCTATAATTACTTCAAAGCCATTTAAAATGCCAGGCTAATTATAAATTTCAAAGATATATTTTATTTTTAATTAAAAAAATTTCTCAATTAATATTATTGAAATTAAATATTCTTAATTTAAAAAATCAAATATTGAATAAATAGATCGTAAAAGAATTAAAATAAGATTAAACTTTAAGAAATAAAATAAAAATTGTAATTAGGTGGTTCCGCTGGATTGGTGGCCTGTAAGCAGAGATTGCTTAGCTTACGGCGTAACAGTTGCTATCTTAATCTGCATTATTCACGATGAGAGAGTGGAATGGTACGAGGCATTGTGCCTTGTCCTTCTGTACATTGTATACATTGCAGTAATGTACTGGGACAAATCATTCCAGCGTTGTACACGGTTTCGGACAAAGACAAGCGTGTCTTCTGCCGAAGATGTCCATATTGGACCAGGTAAGTTTATCTAATTAATTCAATTATTAATTAGGTGACTTGATATATTATCATCTATCAGCTAGTTTACATGATTAATTAATTAGTAGAGCTTGATATATGCAACCAAATTGCTTAAGAGATTTTTTTAATAAAAAATAGATTTTTTGAAATTAATTTTTGGATTTTAATTTTTCACACTTGATTTTATCATGAGAAATCAAAAATATCAACAAGACAATTATTATAAATTAATTCAATTTTTAATGAAAGTTTTCATCATTATTTTTTTTTAACTCATTAATTTATCTTTATAAATATTTTTTTTTTTTTACAAAATGTCAATTTGTTAAAAAATTATCTAGTTCATGTTAAAAATAAAATATAAAATTTTTTAAGCATAAATAAATAAATAAATATTAAAAATAAAATATAAATTTTATTAAGCTTAAAAAACGCACTCAAAATAAATATAAAATTTTTTTTTTTAACATTTATTAATTATAATATTTACAAACAATCGTAAGTCCTCATTTAATACAAAAATATTTAAATTTAGTATGATAGTAGCTCTTGCACACTCTATGAATATTTAATTTATTGGTAAATAAAAACTGTCAGAAATAAAAAAAAAGGCAATTTTTATCCCGATTTTTGTCAAAAAGAAAAAAAATTGAATCCTAAATTTTTATTATTCTTAATTATCTTTATTATCTTAATTATATTTTGTGTTATCTAAAATTCTAATTCTAAAAATTAAATCAAACTGAAATAGAAAATCGCTTGATTAATCAAAAAAAAAGTTCAATAGCTTATTAATAATAACCTATAAGCTAAACAAAGCTAACTTATAAATAGTACAACCGCAAATAAATAACAAAACAATAATCTTAAAATAGCAGCTAACATTTTCGTAGATAGATCTATACATAAAAAAATAAATATAATATTGTTAAAAGTTTATCCACGATTTTGGATAATTGATCTCCCGTGACCTGGTCACGAGAGGTATCGATCGGCCTTGGTTGGAACTCTGCTGACTTTTCCTATTGTATATAACACCGTTGAATAATGCAGGGGTGCATGTTGCGCATGGAAAAACGATAAAAAATATTAAACATCTCCCACAAGATATTTTTCATATTTTTGCCAGTATTTTCATCCTTAGTTTGATTAATTAATTTTTAACTCAGTCTTTTTTTCTACTTTTAATCCTAAATTATTTAGCCCATGTTTCTTCATTATCTCCGTTATTTTTTTATTTATTATTAATCTTGGATGTTGCTTTCCTTTTAAAATTATTTTTGCCACAGGAGACGCCGGCGAAATTCACTTATCAAGATCCGATAAATTGCAATCGTCCGGCGATAGAGTTGAGCAAATTGCGACAATCGACGTGCCACTGCAGAACGGAGGGACGAAAAGTCAAGAGGAAAATCACGAGGCTGGTAAGCTTTTATTCATCGGGGTTACAGTTTTTTTTATTGAAAATAAAATTATTTAATCATAAGACGGAAGACGTGAATAAGTACTTTTATAAGCTTCCGGAGATTGTAATATTCAAATTCAATCATCCTTGAATTAAGTTAACAATTATCGGTTTTAAGTAGATGGTTCTATTCTTCGATTTTACCCTCCAATCACAAGAGATTGCGGTATACTGAGCACCCATTTGTCATCTCAAAAAATTAATATTTCAATTCAATCAGCTTATATAGAACAGTAATTGCAGTTTTGTTGCTTTATACAATTTTTTTCTGAGAAAGCTTCCTCGTCAATAAATTCGATGAAATTATAAATTATTAGATAAAACATCATTAAATTTTGAATCGTTCACTGAAATAAAAAAAATCTTTTTAAAAATACAATTTTAGATAAATAACTTGTAAATTTTCATCAAAAATTTTTTAATAAAAATAAATATTTCATATAATTTTATATAAAATACCAGAGCATAAAATTATACTTGGCGTGAAGCGTTACCGTGCTTCTGGATAAAAGCAAATATTTTTGTAGTAATTGTTAATTAATAATTTTTTCAAATTTTGTGTAATTAATCATATCAAAAAATGATCTTTGTTTTAAATACATTAAAAAAAAAAATGTTTCGGCTGTTATAGAATACGAGTATGAGTTATTGGTGTGGCCAGCGAGAGGTGGATGGATACGTAAAACAGCGTGGGTACTTACTTGGCCAATTCATTTGGTTTTTATGTGTACAATACCAGATTGTGAGAAACCTAGATTTAAAAGATGGTTCCCAGTGACGTTTCTCATGTGTATTGTGTGGATTGGATCACTTAGTTATGTTGTAGCCTGGATGATTACAATTATCGGTATGTATCCTCGAATTTCCCTTATTTAAATTACATTAACATAAATAATTATCCAACATTAATTATGATTATAAATAAGTCACAATGTAGGCACTCAAAATAGCAGATCCATTTAATTAACACAAGCTGTTTTATAAATTCACGCGAATTCGTTAATGATTGTATAACGTGCGTAGGAATACAAGGGTTTAATGTTCATAATTAGATTATAATTACAAAAGATTAATAAAAACACGGCATAAATCAATTAATAAAGAAAATATTAGTTTTTTTTAAATAATATTTAAATAAGGTTATTTTATTACGTACGTTTGTGTACATAAAAACGCATAGTATATTTACAGTACTACAGTATTTCAGAGAGCGAATTTTTTATAATTTTTTTCTAACTGTACATAGAAGATTTTAATTTTAGTTACATAACGCTTGAAATTTTTTATTGGAAAAAATGTTTACTTTTAATTTACGAGTCAGCAAAATCCTTCTGTATGCATATAAAATATCATTTTGAGTTGTAATGCCATGTGGGTACTCAAATAAAAGGTCTTGATGAGTGTAACATCAGGATGAGCTTATTTCTTTGAAAATGTTAATAATTCACACAAAATAGCAATGTCAGTTCTTAATTATTGACATTTTTAAAGATATAAGCTCATCCTGATGTTACACTCATCAAGAGCTTTCATTTGAGTACCCACATGCATTTTTTATATATTTTTCATATATATATAAATATATAAAATATATGAAAAATTGATGTGGGTACTCAAATGAAAGGTCTCGACGAGTATAACATCGGGATGAGCTTATATCTTTAAAAATGTCAATAGTTCTCAACATACAAGGTCATTTCTTAATTATGTAATATTTATTTTAAAGATATAAGCTCATTCCGAGGTTATACTTATCAAGAGCTTTCATTTGCGTACCCACATGCATTTTTGATATATTTTTCATATATAAATATATATAATATATATAAATATATAAAATATATGAAAAATTGATGTGTGCACTCAAATGAAAAGTCTCGATGAATGTAACATCAGGATGAGCTTATATCTTTAAAAATGTCAATAGTTCACAAGATACAAGGTAATTTCTTAATTATCTATCTAGATAAAGAGGACTTAAATGCAGCCTAAATACCTATCATAATAAAAATCCATTTTATATATTTAAATACACTGGCTATAAAATTTTACTTATTCTCTTAATAATATAATATAATTGATGTTTAGGTGACACGCTGAAAATACCAGACTCTGTAATGGGTATAACATTTTTGGCCGCCGGAACAAGTGTACCAGAAGCTGTATCAAGTGTAATTGTAGCTAAACAAGGTAAATTAATATTCAATGAAAAATGAATGAAAGAGAAAATAAATAAATAAAAAATGATAAATGTACAGGTCACGGCTCGATGGGTATCAGTAACTCAATTGGCTCAAACACATTCGACATACTCCTTTGTCTAGGTCTGCCCTGGTTAATAAAATCATCTTTTTCACCGACGCAGCCTGGACGTCACTACATAAGTATAAATTCAGGTGGTCTTGAATACAGCGCAATATCGCTTCTATCAACATTGCTGCTACTTTACATAGCATTCGCTTCGAATAAATTTCAACTTGATTTAAAAGTCGGGCGTGCTTGTCTTTGTATGTACGCAGTATTTCTCATTCTTGCCTCGCTTATCGAGCTCAACGTATTCTTCAGGGTGAATTTACCCACCTGTCAGAGGACAGTTAAGTGATAAAAAAAACCACAACACAAACACTTTATTATATATAAATATATTATATATATTAATATAAATATATTGATATTGATACAATATAATGCTTGTAAAATTCATTAAAATAATTATCACATTACAGTTACTAAATTTTACAATCATTGTAAGTCGACGCATTATTCTTTCATTTTAAAATATACTTTTTCTAATTTTAAAATTTTTAATGCATTCAATTACTAATTTTACGGTAACATTTCAAATTGCGTTACTAAAGTCATAAATGTACAAAATTATTTATTGCAAATCAACGAAGAAATTTTAACAATCAAAATTCACAAAAAAAAACCTCAAGTTTATTTTTTTATTTCATTTTGGTAAAAAAAAATAAAAATTGCCCGTAAAATTAATTACAAACAATGGTTGTTGTTATTATTATTATTATTATTATTATTATTATTATACATAAAAATTATTTAAATCATTAAATTTAAAGATTAAACTCATTGCTTGTAAAAAATCCACAAAAGTCGGATTTTATTTAAAAAAATACTAAAATTTTGAAATTTTAAAAACAATTACAGGTATTAGAATAAATTTCTATTTTTTTTTTATTTAAAGGAATTTTTTTTAATTATTAATCAAGCTACAATCGTAATTTTTTCTACATTTTTACAATTAATAAACTTATTAAGGCGCACAGTAGCCTATCGGATCCAGTCCATGTTTACTAAAGTACTGGACCGGGTTCGAGCCCGGCGTACGCCAATAAATATTTTCAATATTTAAATGTATAAATATTGTTAAAAAAAATAAATAATAGAACAAATAAATAAAAAAAAAAACTTATTAATTTATGTTTAAAAAAATCAATGCGCGCTTTTAATTAAAAAAATTTTTCACACCAAATTTTCCAAAAAAAAATGTTTCTAACTTTGCTAAAATTTCTGAGTTAATTTCCAAAAAAATTTTATGCACGCTATGGCTTCAGTAACGCGATATTTAATCACTTAGATATGTTTTTTAATCATATATTTTTTTTTCAATGCAGCCTTTGATATAAAAAAGATTATTTCATCTTATTTCCTTATAATTATATTTACAATAAGAGCAGTAATAATAATAATAATAATAATAATAACAATAATAATAAAAAAATATTATTGTTGTTATTAAAATTCATTATTTGATTGTCCGTGATTTTTCATTATCTCGTTAATATTAAGACATATTATTATAATTATTATATGTTATATTATATCTAATCAGATTATAATTCATTAAAAATCATTTTGGCACGGCGTTAAAACAACGAACATATTATTGAATATAATAAATTAAAAATTTCCAGTCAAATGTATACTCGAGATCTAATTTTCAAAAAAATAAAAAATTAAAGTAATTAAAACCAATAATTAACTAGTATTATAAATATAAATTTGTAATTTATAATTAAGGATTTCCGTAATAAATTATTATTATTAAAAGTATAAATTTTTTGTCAGTATTGATTCATTTATTTTCTTGTCTGTGTCGTATTGTTGATAATTAATATTTGTTTGCGGTAGAGTTGTTTTTTTTTAAATGTAAATCGATTTGTGAGCGACCTTGGCACGAAATTCGGAAGTGGCGCCAGTAATCTAAATCTCGAGATTCTCTAGTATGTTTACTTGCGACGCTCGTGAAGAGAAACAGAAACGGAATGAATAGAAGAGAATTGTACTCGAGAAAGATGAGGATGACATAACTGAAAAATAATATTGTGTACTTGAAAATTTATCGAGCTTTATATTTATTACAGCAATTGTATTTTCTTTTTTCATTGTTATCGCAATTTTTTTTTTTTTTTATTGTACTGTTTTAAATTCTTTGGAAACATTTTTGAAATTTTTTATTTCTTCTTTGTATATTTTCAATCGATAGGTTTCAAGGTAGTAAAGAATTGTATGATACCATCAAACAACACATAATTTGCACGTAATTTGAGTTTTGTCTTCAAGCGAATTTTTATGGTGTTACTGTATATTATTTTCAAATTAATTGGATTGTCACCTTGGACAATTGATGTTACTGAGCTGTTCAGTAACAGGCGTATGGTTAATTACAATAGTGACTTATTAAAAAATTCAATCATTGGTGTCGTCTATAATTTGTTGTTGATTATTGCTTCCGGTTCATTTCATATTTATATTTTATTTATTTTGGGTGATAAGGTAGAATTTTTTAGTTGGATAGCGGACTCAAAGTTCACAATGTTAATCTATTCTGTTATATTAAATCTGAAAATAATAATAACGTTAGTAATTTGGTTCAATTACATTGTACGACGAAAAAAAATAATTGATGTAGTTGAACGCTTGATAAAATTGGACAAAAAATTACAAAAATACGATTTCATACTCAATGATTATCAAAAGAATTCCCCTATTTATCTCATATTTTTTATAGATTTTGTTCTTTGTCTTTCTTTATTGATTATTCAATTAAAAAAAGAGAATTGGTCAAAAAATGTGCTTATTAAATTTATACCAATTGCGGTAATGAGCTGGTCGATGATGCAATTCACGCTGATGATAAATTTGATTAAAAAGCGTTTTGCAAAGATTAACAATTCTTGTTAAATTCAGATCCAGTGCTATTTTAATTAATTAATAGATATCAGGTTAATCAGACCACAAACGCAATGTTGACAATTACTTCACACTTTATTGCAACGTTTCGTCGAAAATCTCGACTTCTTCAGGCAATCTACAAAAACATACAATACATTAATAATTTTTTTTTTTCCGTCACAATTACAAATTGTCAAAACATATCAGTCATAAATATTATTCTTTTATATGAAATAGATATGAAATATAAATTACAATTCAAATTTCAAAATTAATTAAAGATTAACAAGTTACTTTTAAGACTGGGTAATTTGATAGAGCCGGAAGAAGAATTATTGACAATTGATGATGTCTTCTCTCTAAAGGAACCACCTAAAAAAATAATAGTTTGATCAATTGTTCATGATGTCGATGAAATTAAATACATGCACAGTGAATTGTGTGATTTGTGGTCTGAAGTACTTAATTTTTATGGAGTTCCTGTCTTAATAACAATTTATCAGTTTTGTGGAACCTGTATAAATACTTCGTATTTGATTTGGATTACAACTCGCCTTATACGTTTATCACTAACCCGTCGCAAATTTCCTATTTGGCGGCAAGCTTCAAAGATTATCTCCAAGATTTTTAGAATTCATGGAACCACTATATTCTCACATCTTTTCTTAATTTTTGGATTATTTGTTTTGACCAACCCTGTCACGAAAACAATCGATGAGGTAACTTATAAATTTACGAAGCAGAAATTTTATGTTTTTTTTTTTTTTTTTGTATTAATAAATGCTTTTAATTTAGAGTAAGAAAACGACACGTAACATTCATATTCTTCAAAATAAATGCATAATGGACGAAAAAAATTATGAAAAAGTAAGTATAATTAATTGTTTATTTCAACCATAATTATATATATTTTATATAATTATGTATAAAAATTTTTCCGAGAAGCTGTACATTTACTGATAAAAAATTAATAATTTCAGCTGTGTGATTTTTCATGGAGCTTATTGCACCGACAATTGGAATGTTGCGCTTGTAATTTCATAAAAATAGATGTTACTTTGTTTCTTTTTGTAAGTATAGATTAAAATTAATTAATAATATCTTTTGGCACGATATAATTAAAATAGTGAAAAATTTACTTCTCAAACTTTTGATATTCATAATTTGTTCGCAGTTGTTGGATACGATTGTGCAGTATACATTAGTGTTGATTGGATTCCGATTAATTTGGTATTCTAATCTTTAATTCTACTGTCAGATTTTTCCGAGCTAAAGGAAATCTATTTTTAATACAACATTGTAAATATTATATTTAATTGCTGATGTTTGAAATCATTTTTGCTAATGATATATTACATACTTCGTTAAATAATCATTATAATATATTTCTGCGAGAAATAACACATTTTTTCATTAATAATATTAATAAATATCATGAATTATGAGTACTAATGGATTGATACTTAACCTCAGTACTCGTTAAAATTTTCAACTTTCTCTTTTGAAAAAATAAAAATCCACTCTTCAATAACTCTCAAAATCCTACAATGATACTAACATAAACAGTTAATTAATGAGCATTTTCAGTTCTCAGTTTCTCGTCTAACGTTCAAGTCTTGAGTGTTTGTGTACAGTTATTTGAATTGTATGTTACTTTTGAACTTAAAGTATAAATCAGACTACTGAATTGGTTTACTAAAAATTATCCGACCTCAATGATATTCAAACCCGTAAATGTATAATTCCAACTGATCAGTATGCAAGTTTGAAAGGTAATCCGCTCACCACTCGTGTTTCTATCTAGTTTCAGTTGCGGCAGCTCAGAAAGTTTAGTTATGGAAGCGCTACAGTAGATGGCTGTTTATTTTCATAGATAGAAATCCATAATCTACCTACTTAACACTGTTTGACCCTCAAGATAGAAATAAATTTCATTAATCACTATATTCGACAAGTAAAATACCTTCGGCTAATTACCTTACTTAATAATTCCCATTGCTATAGTGTCATTTATTATCAAATATGACAGAACGCTAAATAATTTAATCGATACTACAAGATCGGGTTTGTTTTAACAAAAAAAAGTTAATTAGTTCTACAAAAAAAATTTTAAAATAAGAAGTAGAAAATTTTTTTCACAAAAAAGAAAAAAACCATTATATTATTTCCAAATAATTTTTTTTAAAAATGCCATCTTGAGATAACAAATAAAGCAGTAGTGGTTGGCTGAAGTATAAAAGAAAGAAGACATAAAACACAAGATTTAATCTCGGAAACATATATGAGCCCTTAACACTGATCTCCGTGATCTCGAGTAGGATATTCGAACAATAGATCACACTCCTCTCAGAATCCCATTGACTCTTTTATCTCCCTCACTTTTTTAGTTGGCTTCATTCATCTAGACCTAGGCTATCCTCGTCTCTCTCTACCTTCAGTGTGCTATCGTATAATGCCATACGACTGAAGAGTCCTGTATAATATGAGTGTTGGTTGTCTTTATACATATATATATATATATATATATATATATATATATATATATATAACACAAGGACAAGATAGAGGATAGAAACGGGGAAAACATAGCAGGAAAAGCGTCCCATCGTATGAGGCAGAAGCAGACAGCTTGGAGCCAAGCAACCCTCCTCGACTCACCCTCTTGCTCTTGCAGTCATTTTATATATATATATACTACCGAGCCATACTATCCTTCCGTAACCCCTAGACCGCATCCATTTCATTCTCCGTATACCATTCGCAGCTCTAAAGGGAAGAATTTCTTTCGTTCCTGTCCGGGAATTCATCCAACTCGGTCTGTGGGTCAACGGGTTAAAATTGCAGATACTCCTATTCGGACACAGTATTCGCCCACTCAACATGCCCCTACTCGTATACATATATACAATATACATAAAAATTCACCAGTGTACACTGTACAGGCACTCTCATTTTACAGCACTCTAAAACGTATTTTTTTATGCTTTTATAATAAAAAAAAAAACTATTACATTTTTCATAGGTTACGTTTATTATATTTTTCAAGACCTCCAAGTATGAATAAATCGAAAATGTGCTGAATTTGTTAAAAATTAAAATAAATAACGATCATTGAAATTAAAATTTATTATTCACTTTTTAAAGGATCGAATTGTACAGAATCATTTCTTAAATTAGTGATTTATATTTTTTTATTGCCATGCATATAATCAATAAGTCGAGGAATAATTAAATTAGCTTCATTAGCAATCAATAAGAAGACAAAAAATTTAAAATTGTTATAGAAAAATTTACGTAGTTTTTTTGCTCTTCAAAATAAATAAATTAAAGTTTGAGGGCTTCAGTATTTTTTTAAATATTGCCACACTATTTTACAGTGATAAAAAATTTTTTATTAAATAGTATCGAAATTTTCCAACAGATGGCGCATGGTCGCTGAATCATCTCCTTATAGGAGATTTAAGTTTGAAGGATTAAGTTAAAAAACAAAAATATCTTTTTTGTCAAAACCTTAGATAGGGTTTTTTTTACATATTTTTCTTTTTCCCTAAATAAAATAGTCCACCTTCTAGTCAAACTACTTAATTATATTATAATATAATATAAATATATTATCCAGTGGGTTATGTTGCATACAATGTACAATAAAATTGTAACTTGTAAATTATATATGTCAAATAAAAATTTTTAAACTAACTTTTTTGTCAAAGATTAATTTAGGTCTGATAAAAATTTTTCCTAAAAATAAATATTGAATCAAAAATAACATACTCTTTTTAAATATGTGTAATATAAATTTTATTACAAGTAGAGTCCATTAGGAATTATAAATCAACAATATTATATACTAAATTTGTATCTGTAAATATATAATTATTAATAAAGACAATAATAACTTTTTTGTCTCTATTATTGGTTGAAATTTCATCAACTACTGAATTATTTATAGTATAATACTAATTAATTAGCCTACAAAATTCTAAAAAAAAAAATTATAATAAATTATCCGTATATAGCTTCTACAGCAATAAATAACCAGATCAGGCCAATTATCCCGCTATAAAATTGGGTACGTACAACCATACAAAAAATAATTTCACGGGTAAACAATGAAAATCCCTGCAATCACACCTGCATTCCTCACCCCAATTGCACCCTCCCTTGTTCAAAGCCCTTTACAAGCCGAATTACCCAAACAAACTCGATTATGAATTAGCAACCGGAAAAAAATGGCAATGCCCGCAATTACCGAAGCCTCTTATCAACACATGAAGCTAAAAAGCATTGACAGGATCGAAAACATTGATAACTCTAGTCTTCCCCTGCCCTCCTGATGAAGGCCCAATGAGTGCAGATACAAGTGTTGTTAAAAATGTTGGTTATAGTTATATCATTCGAGCATTATAGAGTGAGAGTGTGCAGTGTGGTATGTGCGACGGTGTGGCACGCGCGTCAGCGTTTGGATCTGCAATGCGGCGTTGCCGGTGAATCCGTTGGTTCCTGGCCCTCCACCCTTGCAACCCGTTCCGTCGGACAATACGACAACTTTAACTACCAACTACCCCAATCTAACCCGCCCGCGCCGTCATAGGACTGCAATACACCAAGACTGAATTACAAAATCAAAATTTGTCGGTAAAAATTTGAATCCAGCCAAATTTTTGACTATTTTATTAGATTTTTAGCACAAAGCAGTTGCGTGGATCCTCCTTTCTCACATCTGACACACAAACACAACATAGAACATACATGCAATTAAAATAAAGACAGAAACTGGAAGTGAGTGAATAGAGTCGATCCATGCGCTGGATGCAGAGAAGTCATGCGCCCTTGCAACTACCCTTCCTCTTCGGCTTCAATGACTGCTGTCTCTCTCCCACTCACTTACTGATAATCTTATCCGCTGCTCACCCTCTTCCCTACCTGCCCCCAAATCGACCCCCAGTGCGAACAGACCGTCCACCCCTTGATACGGTACCTGAAGACCGCGCAGTGTTGCCTACCGTGGCAGGGGAGCACAACACTTGCCGTTTAAAAATAATTATTATTTTTACTAATTCTTTCGTTAATATAACATATGTATATGTATATGTAAATTTATATGTCCTATTTGTGTATGTGTTGCCGGATTAATCTTAATTATTAATCTTTAATAATTAATAATTCATAGTTTATTGATTATTAATACTTATTTATTCCTTAATGTCTAATAATTTGTAAATAAAACAATGTTTATAAATGTATTTTTTATCCGGAAAGTTAAAGTGGTAAAAATAGTAATTACATATGAGGACTAAATTGAAATCACGAGCATTATATTCCCTATTTTAGGATTTTCGAGGTTTTATTATTGGTTTATAGACACTTAAAATGACGTGACGCTGGGTGACTATAATTATATTTATTAATAATTGTTATTAATTACGCGCTGTTTAATATTTATCAGTTGTTAAGAGATTGTAATTTTAAATTGAGAGACTTTGTAAGTTAACGGGCCCACGCGCTTTGCTATTTGACGGCTCTGGTGAACGTGTTAAAAATTAATTATTAAATTATTAATTACGGTTTGTCATAATTACGCCATTGTTACATAGTTTTTAGAGATAGAAATTGCGACATATCCGACTCATATCGACCAGACTTGTAAATAATAACAGTGTCCAATGTTTGTTTCAATTATTAAATAATTACAATAATTATTGAATAATACTTTGATAAATAAATGTGAATAAATATTTGTGGGTGCCTCATGTTTCAATAAAATAGTGCCTAATACTTGCAATAAAAAGAAGAGGAGGATATGATATTTTAAATTCATTGTCTGTATGTGTATGTTACCTTTTGTTTATTATTGTGGGTGGAAAAAAATATTAACAAGATTTTTAAATGTAAATATTTTTCTAGTTTTTTTAGATTAATTTTGCGGATGTTTGGACGATGAATATTTAAAAATTTGACCTAAATTTAGTTCGGCGCATTGACGCGATTTTTAAATTTTTCTGTGCAAACTTCAAAAGCGGGTTTTTTAAAGATATTTATTTTTTTTACTATGGTTATATTTACTGAAGTTTAAAATGTAATCACATTTGTGTTACAAATTTACGTAATTAATTCAAATTATTTGTCGAGAAGTATTTGCATATTTCGATTAATTTACTGGGTAAATTTTGAGGTCATTTAATTTAGGTTTATTTATTGAGAGTTGTTTAGTTTAATGGTTTAATGTTTGGTATTTATAGTCTGTGCGTTGATTGGCTGTACAAAAGAGCCAAATAAAAATACTTTTTTTTTTCAACAGAATATTTTTTAACTTCAATTTTTAGCAATATAAATTTGTTATTTTTTTTTGGACAAAATTGTATTTTTTTCAATTTTTGAACAAACTTTTTTGTAATTATTAAGGAAACTTTTTTTTTTTTATTTTTTTATGATAAAAATAATTAAAGTTCAATCTTTTTAATAAGTTTTAAAAACTTTTTTAAAAAATAATTAAATTAATAAAATTTTTAGGGGAAAAAGTTGTCAAAATTTTTATCAAAAAAAAAAAAATAATAAAAAAATGTTCTCTAAATTTTTTTTTTGGATAATAATAATTAAATTTTATAATCAATACGAGGACGAATCAAACAGAAATCTTCGTTATCAATAAAAATAAAAATTAAAAATAAAAAAAAAATTTGAAACTGAATTTTGCCTAAAATATTTTTTATAAAAATAACTCTCAATAAATCAATAAATATTTTTTGTAATTTAAAAATTAAAATAGACGATATAAAACTAAATCGTTAGTGAGTGATAAATCTTCCGTGTTAACGTCACAAGTTAATGACCTTTTATTACTGCAGTAGTCCGTCCTTCATAATTATATTCCGCACAATAAATAACTTTTAAATTTATTGTTCTCTTTAAAAAAATATTTAATACGATACAAAAAATTATAAATTGAGCTTTTTTATATTTTAATCGGATTACGTACTTAAAAAACTTTTTAATAAACGAATAACTTCCCTTTGTTTTGTTTTGGTCTTTTTATTTTTTTTTCTTTAATGTAAATTAGTGTTACAAAGTTTGATTTATTGCTAGGAGAAGAATTTAGTTATAAATTTTGATTTGTTGAATACAGATCCGTGGTGATTTAAACTGCGGACACTTTGGGGCAATTGGATGTAATTAAAAACGAATGTGCATACCACTACTGAATAGTGAGCACGCGCTGGTGCACGTTAGCGGAATCACAGCCGTTAGAATTAGTTATGTCACAATTAATGCTATGCAATCTTGCGAATACTTCAACTGCGGGAAATGATACCAACAATAACGCTAGTAGCAGCATGGAGGACGACGACTCATATCCACTGCCCACTATTTATCGGTAATTTACTTTTTTATTCTTAATTAATATCATCAAATTGCTATTTTTTACCTCGTACGTGCTATAACTATTTTATTTCTATAACAAGACAACATTTTTTTCACGAGTAATGGCTTAACTGTAGTAATTAAAATATAATTGTACTGTTCTGTGCGGATTTTCCGATTTTTTTCATCATAAAGTTTACTGATTGCCGTAATTACCTATATTAAATACAATCGTTGATTTTCGTATAAAGAATTTCTTACTATACTTTCTTGACTATTGACATTTATAAAGATATAAGCTTATCCTGATGTTACACTCATCAAGAGCTTTCATTTGAGTACCCACATGCATTTTTGATATATTTTTCATATATACATATACATATATATAAATATATGAAAAAATGATGTGGGTGCTCAAATGAAAGGTCTCAATGAGTGTAACATTAGGATGAGCTTATATCTTTAAAAAGGTCAGTAGTTCACAAGATACAAGGTCATTTATTAAGTATTGACATTTTTAGAGATATAAGCTCATCCCGATGTTACACTCATCGAGACCTTTCATTTGAATACCCACATGGCATTTTTTATATATTTTATATATATATAGTATTTGTGAAATATATAAATATATAAAATATATGAAAAATTGATGTGGGTACTCAAATAAAAGGTCTTGACGAGTGTAATGTCAGGATGAGCTTATATCTTTAAAAATGTCAATAGTTCACAAGACACAAGGGCATTTCTTAATTATGTGTCTAGAGATAGAGTACTGAGAAACTTTGAAAAGGTACAAATTCAAGTCTAGATCTTTGCAATGACACTAAATTTTACTAAAAAAAAAACCGATTTTATTATATGACTATCTTGGAAACAAAATTTTTCTTATTCTCATCATAATACAGATTATTTTCTTATTCTCTTTTGTAAAATTTAAGAACTCAGAAGGTTTTAAAATTCTTAAAATGAAATAAAAATATCCTTATTTTTTTTCTTCAATATTTTAGAGTTGGTACATTTTAATAATCTAAAAAAAAAAATCATTTCTTTAATTTTTCGATGAAAAGGTGAGCGGTATTATGAGTGTTTCTCAGTAAAACAGTCAAAGAAACCTGAAGTTGTAAGAGATTTTTTTATGCAAAAACATTGGATGAACCAAAAATGTCAAGAAAAGTGTGAATCGCTTGTACACTTTTAGTGTTTGATTATTTTTATTCACATATATATTTTTTCTTTTCAACACTGAAAAGTTTTTTGCTCAACATTGTGAACAATGCTCTAGTGAACAATTCTTTGTTGAGCTAGTGAGAAGGTCATTTGTTCGTGCTTTTATTTTTTGTTTTATTGTTTCATTTTGTCCGCTCACTAATAGAAGTAGGTAATGTACTTTGAATTTTTTTCAACCAGTGGGTAAATGAAAAAATAAAAAAATTTACATCTTGAAAATGTAATAAGCAAAAAATAAAATAATTATTTCTATTAGTTAAATTCATTTCTCTTTTTTTAACGAATTAAATACAAAACAAAGCTACTATAAAATTCTCTTAAGAAACACTAAAAAAAAAAAAATAAAAACTGAATTTTTAATTCAAAATAATGAAAAATATACAAAAACTTTAGAACAATATAAATAATAATTTATGCAAGAAGGGGATATGTGCGACAATTGATGCTCAGGGTGACAAGGTTTAATTGGAGACTTCAAAGACTTCTTATAGTTACTGTCGTAGCCGGAGCTTGAGGCTCTGTCGGTTTTATTTTTTTTTTTTTATACAAAAAACCAAGTGGAGCGAAGCGTGCCTCGAGGATTTTAATAATTTTTTTTCTGTTATCATATAAGGTAAAATTTTTATAAAAAAAATACGCTCTTATTTACCGGGGTAATTGATTTATATTTTTATTTCACCGTTGGTTTGTTGAAAATAAAAGCAACAGAAAAACAAAAGCTTATCAACTGGTGTTGGAAAATGTCTTTAACAATGAGGGTATTTTTCAGGTGTCGTGCTCCTATAGCGAGTCTTGATTGTATGGAAGAGTTCAATGGTAGTACTGGTGGTGCAGACTCGGGGATCCATTGTAGTACGACGCAGCAAGGTACAAAAGAACAACTACTGACGAGTTGCATAACGTCCCAAAGCCAACGTTCACAACATCCATCTCCGGGTATTCGTTACCGCAACTTGGGTAAAAGCGGTCTTCGTGTTTCTAATGTTGGGTTAGGTAAGAATTCACTTACTCAGTTTACTCAGTATTTATATTATTGATATAGTCCGCTTTGTCTGTTAATTAAACTCGTGCTAAGCCATAGAAACGGAAAATCTTTTTTAATTTTATTTTTCAATTATATTTTCTTTGTTTTCATCCTTTTAAACGTTCAGTTGATGGCACCTGGCCTTATCAATCAATCCTGTAAACTTTAAATTCCCGACAGAGGTCCCAATATAACAATAAGATTCATCAATACGCTAGATATTAAAAATTGCACGCCTCATAATCTCATTTTCGATAATAAAATTAATTACAAAAAATGAAAATTAAATTATGATACTAAAGTTAGTCGATGTTTTTAATTATTTGATTTTTTTTTAATAATTAAATTAAACCGAAAAAACATTTTTAAAAAAATTTCACTTATAGTTTTTTAAGTTTTTTACAAGTGACATTTTTTTTTTTATTTTTTTTGTAATAATTATTTCAATAAAAAAAAATTCTAAAAATTTTTAATTGTCAGCCAACTTAATTTTCATATTAAATTAGCCGACATTTGAAAATTTTTATAATTTATTTTATTGAAAAATAATTTTTAAAAAATTAAAACAAAAATTTTCACCTCCAGAAAATTTTAAAAATCAAAAATTGATCAGTGTCGGCTAACTTAATTTTTATCAAAAAATACTTTTAAATCTTTCGCGCCATTGTCCACCCAGAAAATAAAGGTACTGCGCATGTGTTGTAAACAAACCTTATTTACATAGATATAGATCAGTGGATTTTTAGTTTATTGCTATTTATAAATAAACTACATTGAATTAGAACGTGATCTTCAAAAGGACTTTATTTTAAATCATACTGAAGCGTATAAAAAATAAATGGACTTGATCAGTTAAGTTTTTCGGCAATTATCGTGACCACACCAGTTTTCATACATACATTTTACACGGAATAATTTTTTTTATTTATTTAAAAAGCAAAATGTCTTTTAAAAATGTCATAAGCGTTGAAATTATTATTTTTTCATTACATTTATATGTAAATATTGTTCTACAAGTGCGATAGAAAATAAATAGACAATTTTAGTTATTCAAGATCCGCTTTGCTTATGAGGCGTGCAAAAATAAACCAAAATTTTTCTTCTGAAGGATTTTCATCTAAAAATTTATTCGGACAACAATATTTTTCGTTCACGTAATAAAAACACGAAGAATGTTATTAAACTAAAAGCTTTTTTGGAGAATAAAAATAAATACCTGTTTTTTTTTATATTTAAAAAGTGTTATTTCTTCCTTTATGATCTTACTCTTAAAATACTCTTGAAATCACAGGAAAAGGTATTGATTGAGTGTTGAAAAGCGTAAAGTCGCTTCAACTGCCCCCCCGTACAATTTATATTATTTTTTATTTTAGCGCTATATCTCAGTATCTTTTTATTTAGTAATTTGTTGTAATTTTTTTATTTTCCTTGTATGTAGAATACAGTGTATCATCAGAATTGAAATTTAATTTAAAAATATGAATTGAACTCGCGAATTCCTTTGAAATTCATTGTCTGAATCGCGTATTTATACTATACCGATTTCATATGTACACATATAATGCTTGTATTAAGCACAATAACGTCACAGAGTTCTCTGGTATATTGAATTTTTTTTCACTTGTCAATAAAATTAACAATTGCAATATTGGCATCTTTTTTCATTTTTATCACTTTGACGTGTATGCGAACTGCTGCCCTAGTTATATTTTTATATGAGGATAGTTTTATTGTACTTCTATATCATCATTTTCTTTCGATTCTCGTGCATTATTATAAATTTTCTATTTCAGTGAAATAATTCATCCATAATATTATCATATAGACAATATTTGCTCGCAATATTGTCTTGTTTCAAAGACTCGGTCGCTCTTTGATTGTTCAAATTAATTTAGCATATTAATTTTATGCAATCTACGCACGGAAAGTTAAATTTTGTACATTTTAATAACGATAGAGGATTGGCTCATTATTTATACCTTTATTAGATATTAAATTGTTTTTTAGAGTGATAATTAATTTTAAACTAATTGTTTTTTCGTACAAATGAAAGACTTTCTAAAAAGGAGTTAGACTATTTGCTAATTAGAACGTCAATATAACAACTATATAAACAAATTATAAGTTAAAATAACATAATTTAGATTATAACAAGTTATTGATATGTTATAACAACAAAATAGTTTCGTTACTATAGCAAAATCTTTAAGTTAATTTGACAAAATAAATACTTTAGTTGGTATAACAAATTTTTTTGTTGAAACAGCAAAATTATTCTATTAAAATAACAAAGAGAATTTGTTGGAGTAACAATGACAATTTGTTAAAGTAATAAAGAGAATACATAATATAAAAATATACTATAGCTGATTTGGAAAATATTATAGCAACAAATTAGTTTTGTTATTGCAACAAAATCATTTTGTAACAGCAACAAAGTCATTTTTTTTTACACGCTTTTTATTAGCTTCACTTGTATGTCAGTATGTCAGTATGTAACTCTCCGAGAGTAATTTGCGCGCCTGCGGCCTATAATTTTTCTCTACAGTCGATAAGACAGGACTTGATGTTAATTTTAATTTCTAATAATTATCTTTAGCCGATTTCTCTAATATTGACAAATTTTCGAATACTAAGGAGAATTTTAAGTCTACAAAAAGAATAATAGTTTAAAAAACTAAAAAATCACGCTTTTATAAATTAACCAAACTAAAAAGTAAAAAATAAATAATAGTTTAAAAAAACTAAAAACACGCTTTTTATAGATAACCTAACTAAAAAATAGAAAATAAATTTTAATAAATTTAAATTAAGAATAGTGTTAAAAATTTCAATAAATATTAATTAATAATAGTGTGAATAAAAAAAAAAAATTATTTTATTTTAAAAAAAGCGTGGGGTGCTTTTTAAGATATTATCAAAATGATAATCACTCTACTCACATCTGTCAATAAAATATTTATAACTATTGATACCATGCACCCCACGCTTTTTTTAAAATAAAATAATTTTTTTTTTATTCACACTATTATTAATTAATATTTATTGAAATTTTTAACACTATTCTTAATTTAAATTTATTTTCTATTTTTTAGTTTGATTTTCTATAAAAAGCGTGTTTTTACTTTTTTTAAACTATTATTTATGTGAATTAGCAATTAATTTGTTAGTACAACTTGAAACATTTTGTTATTTCGACATTTTGTTTTTTTGACATCCCGTCTTTTGTTATTTCAACAAAATCGTTTTATGCACGCGGCAGTAAATTATATCAACAGACATATTTAACAAGTTTTCATGAAATAAACATTATTGGAATAATTAAATGAACTGTCATTACACAACGTTATTAAATTTATCGTAATAATTTAAACTATTCGTAACATTTGACCCGTGATTGACATGTGGCATCACTTCTACACCACAGGGGGTGAATTTGACCCAGTTAACCACCTCGATGTCTATTTTCGTCCAAATTTAGCCTCCTCCTCCTCCTCCTCTTCCTCCTATCGCAACCAAATTACATTTAAGCTTGATTAGTATATGCTTATTTTTAAACTAACGATAAACAAACGAATTCTGATTAAACTGATCAATAATCCATTTGATTTATTTTTAAAAAAATAACCCGACTTTTTTCTAAATTGTTAGACATACTTTGTTTATAAAAGCAACAAAGAAGAATATATAATATTCACACTCGATCAAGCAAAATTCAGTTTGCTAATTCAATTATAGCTAATCGATACATACCAGTTTTAATTATCCTCGAAAATATCGAGAAAAATGTTCCATTACTGTCATTTAAACTTTTATATAAATATATTTTACAGTATCGGTTATTGCTAATCAATTAAAGAAAAAACGTTTAATTTTCGATAATTAAAACAGTTTTATATTGTTTAATTGTGTGTATTTGATCCAGTCTTCGTTAAGAAAGTCCAAAACTTCAGCATTAAGCAGGATCCTTATATATATATATATATATATATCTATAAAATATGAATGAGTCAATCGAAAGTTTCAATAACTTTATTAAACTCGATAAAATTTCTTTTTCAATTACTTATTTCCTCAACTTTTTACCTCTATTTGTCTTTTGCTGAATTTAAGTAAATACTTTACTGATACTTATTGTTGATTCAATAAATGGATAAGTGGTATTGAAAATTTTTAAATATCAAAGAAAATATTTATAATAAAATAAATTGTTTAAAATTTACACTCGGCTAAAAATTTAAAAGAAAATTATTGACTTTTAATAAGAAAAAAAATGTTCTTAAATTGATGTCATCAGTATTGAATAAAAAAAAAAAAAATCTTCGGCAATAACAGCCCCTTAAATATTTTATATTTTGCCATAAAAATGTTTCAAATTTCTATGTTTCATTATAAATAACAATTTTAAATTTTAATACGCTGATAAAAAAAATAATATAATATTCAATAAATTTTAATAACTCAATAAATGATTTTTTAATATTAGCTGATTTAATAAATATTTATTAACAGTTAACAAGTCATTTATTTAATACATGCAAGTTATTTGTTTCTAATTAATTTAATTAATTAATTTTGAAAATGAATAAGCTTATTTCAATGCAATTAAAAAAAATAATTCACGATTTACCTCACGTGTAGCTCATAAACATCTCCAAATTTTAACGCATTGCAGCGTATTTTCTCTTGCATGCAAATATTGTTCAGTTAAATATTTATTTTGTAAGCAATAATATGTAAAATTACAAAAAAAAAAAATCTTTCAAGCGGATTTGAGTCGCTGAAACTTGCTTCAGATACTATAATTTCATCATCCTATAATCTTCTTAATAACAAGCAAAGTAATAATAATACATTAAATAAGAATCTTATTCACTCAAAATTCAAGAAACAAGACAAATAATAACATTGTAATTCATAATAAATTTTGAAAGCTTATTGACCGTAAATCCAAAAGTTTAATATGAAATTCATAAAATTTATAATTTATTAGGAAAATGTCAAGAACCCCCTTGACTTATGATCTTTTAAAAATAATAATAATAAGTTTGACAACAGACTTAACGTGGGCGTAGTAGCTGTCAATATTAGTGATAAAATAACAATAGATTTGAAGTAGCAATAAACCGAATCATATTATAATGACTTTTGAATATACCGAACTACATTGAAGTAGGTTGGAAATATTGAGAGGATATTATAAATATAAGCCACTTGAATTTATACGTATGGATCATCTCTATCAGAGATGAATCAATAGGGGTGTATGTGTAGTTGATAAACACAGTACTCTGTAGAGGGTGACATATAATATGCAAGCAGACATGATATGGATATGTATATGTGTATGGTGGGCCAATAGAAATGTGAATAATATAGTAAACCGAGAAATGTTCTCTTGACTGTTAATTTAGGTACATGGACAACATTTGGCGGGTTGGGTGGATGCACCAGCGAGGAAACAGCAGAAGCTATTGTGGCCTTGGCCTATGACAGTGGTATCAATGTGTTCGACCTTAGTGAAGCGCACAGTGGTCATAGGGCTGAAATCCAACTTGGTCGTATTCTCTTACGACGGGGCTGGAACCGCTCCAGCTACATTGTCACCACTAAAATCTACTGGAGCACCAAGTAAGTTACGAGCCAACTAAACATTATGCCATTAAGCATCCCTTAAATTGTTTTCACTAATACGATATCATCCACTTAATTTATCATTGGCTGCACTACACACACACACACACACACACACACACACACACACACACACACACACACACACACACACACACACATGTGCTGGATTTGACTAATAACTCGCTTAATTTATTACTGCTATTTATTTTACTTATAATTACTCTGTAGGGTGGAATTTTTAATAAAATGCACGCCTCGGTTATGATGGAATAAAAAAAAGTTTTTTATAAAAATTAAAAAAATTTTAATCCCGGAAAAAATTTTTAAGTTGTGTAAAATTAATATTTCATTAGAATTATTATAAAATAAAAATTATAATAATAATAATAATATTTTTTTTTTGGTGCTTGTTTTTCGGGAAAATTGTATGAGATTAAAGTTAGCAGTCACTATATAATTTTTTAATTTTTTTTAACAAATAAATTTGTTCTAAGAAATTATTTTTAAAAAATTGCATTTTTTATTTTTTGAAATTTTTGCATGTCAATTTAAAAAAATTGATATTTTATAATAAATTTTATGTTTTTAATTTTTTGTAAGAAGAGAAGAACAATTTCGGAGTGTTTTTTAAAGTCTTTTTAGCCATTTAAGTAAGTAATTCTATAATGACCGATAGGTGGCGAAAGATCGCATAGAGTTTTCGCTTGCAAAGAGGTAAATCGAGTAATTTAATACAAGAAATTTTCTTTAAATTTCTTTTCAACTTCATAAAGAAAAATCAAATGGATTATCTTGTATAAATAAAAAAAAATTCATTAAAATTTTATAAAAAACTTGTTACATTTTAAATCAAACTAATAAAAATTGTTACTTTTAAATTTATTGTCATTTTAAATCCTTGAATCGAGGCGTGCAAAATTGAAATTATAAATTTTTAGAATTTCTTTCACTGTTGATTAATAATTATGAATGTTAAAAATATAATTGGATAAATAAAAAAAATTGCAATTATCTGTAATAATTCACTTGAATTAAAATAAATATAATAGAGTAAAAATTCTAAAAAATTTTTGACAGGCTTTTTAAATAAAAACTGAAGACATGAATGAATTTTATTAAAAATAAAAATTTTCTACATATTTTCAGCACAAGTACACAGTGATCTAAAAAAAAAGCCATGCGTGTTACTATTTAAATATTGATACAACACCACAGCCTAAAACGAACATTTACTAAAGCAAATTTATCCAGTCATGCTACAGTATAAAAAATTAACAAGCATTTGCATCAAACAGTCGCCACCACAAAAAACTCATTCATTATTATTATTATAATCACACAATATACTTGAATTGTAACCACACATTGTCATGTAATCAATAAAATAAAATATATATTGTAAAAAATAATTCATTGACATTATCAGAATCATAAATAATACATACCTATTTCATTATTATCCAAGACCTTGATCTAAATTCATTATTTTCTCATCATATCGATTAAATCCGTCGTAATTTCTATATTGATAAGATTATTATCTATTATCACTTACAAGTTTTTCTTTGTTCATTAATGCAATTTGCGATGCTTTAAATATGTACTCTGTGTCAAGTGAAGAATTTTTTATTTTTTGCTTACAACCTCTGTCAGCTTACATACATTACCATACTAATTATCAATCATCGTCAAATTTTTCAACAGGGCGTAATATCAGCCTCTTGAAAAATTGCTAACAATTTTTTATTTTTTTTTTCTACTTGGAAAATATTAAACACAACCTACACGCAAACTTTATCCATTTACCTATATCTGCAAGCTTTTAAATTTGTTATGCTTATTTATTTATCATTGTATTAAAACATCTATTGTTAGCGTATAGTTTCGTAATTTTCATTTTACCTCACATCAATCTTAACATTTGAATGATACTTTTCTTATCAATATAAAAAAATGTCCAACAACTACACTAAAAAAAATTCTAAACTGTTAATAAATTAATTTGATTCAAGAATTTCTCTTTTTAATAAAGTTAATAGATATTTTTTAACTTTTAATGAATAACTAGCAATAAATAAACTGTACTTTCTTAAATATTGAAGTTTTTAAAGATATAAGCTCATCCTGACGTTACACTCATCAAGAGCTTTCATTTGAGTACCCACATGCATTTTTGATATATTTTTCATATATACATATATATCATATATATAAATATCTAAAATATATGAAAAATTGATGTGGGTACTCAAATGAAAGGTCTTGAAGAGTGTAACATCGGGATGAGCTTATATCTTTAAAAATGTCAATAATTCACAAGATACACAAGGCCATATCTTGCAGCCTAAATACTTATTATATAAGTACTAAATTAATCGTTAATAAATATTAATTAAATCATCTAAAGTTTAAAAATCAATTATTGATAGTTAGTAAATCTTATTGAATAATCACAAATCCTTCTCACTCAATTAATTTAGTTTCATATAAAAAGTATATTACATATCTAGGAGGAAATGTCTTACATTACTGTCCTAGGTATGTAATATACTATTACTTCTTTCCACCACCTCCGTAACCTTAAAAATGATCTGATAGATTAAAATAACATAAGTTACATATAATTGTATCGGTGTGTCGTAGAAGTGAGGGACGAGGTCTATCCAGGAAACATATTATCGAAACCGTTCAGGCGTCCCTATCGAGGCTACAATTGTCGTATATCGACATTGTGATGATTCACAAGGTCGATCCAATGTGTCCGATGGAAGGTAAGCCAAAATTCTGCAGATAGGTTATCTCTACACAGAACAATCAATAGTGTGCACTGTACTAGCGTTGGTTAAAGCTGATGACAAAGTAGCGTTTCAGACACCTAACTACAACCTTATCAGCCACAAAACCCGACCCAAAATTTAAATACTTCCATCTAATCACATTTCCATTTTACACATATTATTTACTTAGAATAATTGTATTGTACTGTAAAAATGTTCTCTAGTCTTTTTCTTAGAAGTATCTTTTGGCATTAATTTTTTAGAAATCGTTCGAGCTATGAATTATGTTATAAATAGAGGATGGGTGATGTATTGGGGTACGTCAAGATGGTCACCGGTTGAAATAATGGAAGCTTACTCGAATTGCAGACAGTTTAATTGCGTTACGCCAATTGTTGAACAAGCAGAGTATCATTTATTTTATAGAGATAAACCAGAACTTTATATGCCGGAATTGTACAACAAAATTGGTGATTATTTATAACAGTCACGTATTATTAAGACATTAAATAAAACTAATCACAACTTTGTCTTAAAGTTATTCTAAAGTATTAGATCTTCTCAATTGGCTTCCAGGCGTCGGTTTGATGGCGTGGTCAACCGTTACGATTGGTATGGTTTCGAAGCCCGATGAGTGCGGAGTTTCTTTTCTATCAAGATCCTCCTACAAGGTAAAGATATAATCAATTTATCTCGAATATTACTTTGTGTTAATTTATAACAGCGGGGTGGTGAAAAGATCTTTTTTATTGCAATCTTTAAAGTTTGTTTTCTAGAAAACGGAAATATTCTCTGAAGATAACTTGATTAATTGCACGCCTCATAAGCGAAGCGTTGAGGTAGTGCTCTACTCTCGATATTTAAAAAAAAAAGCAGTTTTATCGAATCTTAAATTGATTTTTTTTTTTTTAATTTATATCTCACTTAATATATTTCAATAACAATTATTTTGTTTAACATTAAAAATAATCTTTTCTGAAAAAATGATCGTACCGGAATAATTTTTTTTTTTATTATTTAAAGTAACACACTTAGGACCTTCTTAATTAATATGAGCGTTCAATTCACTGTCGTTAAATTATTATTTATAAAAAACTAATACATTACAGTGGATCTTTTTGTATATCTATCTATAGATTTTATGATAGTATTTTTTTTAGAGTTATGGCGCCAATAAACCATAGCAGAATTTTCTTTTTTTTATTATTTTTCTTTTTATATTTTATTTTAATGAATTTTATTGTGAAAAATGAGATTATTAGGCTTGAACTTTTGGATTTCTGTAGATTTTTTGGATAAAACATTTTTGATTAATTTAATTAATTTATTTCTTTATAAAATATGTAACAAAAATATTTAAAATTTTTATTGCTTAAAAAATTTTATTGTTTATTTAAAATAATTATATTTTTTTATGAAAAATAATTGATTTTTCTTAGATACAAATTTTTATAAGATTAAAAACCAATAAAAAATAATTTTTTTCACACCCTCATCTCTGGTACGTTGAACTGAAGCGTACAATTGATTTTAAGTCGAGTTACATTCTTAGCTGTTATTATTTTTATATCCCCTGAAAAATGGTATGATTTTTTTTATTACTTACAGAATAAATACTCGTCGTTTAGTTGGACGGAGGATGAAACACAATCGTTATACAAAGAAGTATATTATTTATTAATGTTTTGATTGTTGTTGTTTGTTGTTATTAGTCTTTCCATTAAATTTCTATTGCGTGATATTTTTTTTTTCAAAAATTTTTCAAGAATAATAAAATTAAGATAGAATAATAAATAAAAAATTGAGTATAGATTTTGAGATGCATGATTATGTGGAAAGACTATCATAGCTATGTCAAAAAGTAGAAAATTTTTCATTAGTTTTTACCGTAAAAATCATGGGAAAACTTTTAAACTATAACTAAGCTTGGAAGAATTTTTTTATAGCTCGCAAATTTTCGATAGTGAAAATAATAACTATATAGTTACGTGGACGCTAGATTTTTTTTAGTTATTTCTTTTTTTTTTTATTAAAATTTTTAGTTTATCCTGACATTTTAAATATTTAGTTTCAGTAATTTATTTTACAGAAATAGCTCCCTAGATTATAGCCCATGTTAAAATAACACTTAAACGGTAAATTTTTAATGAAAAATTGGCTTTTAGCTGAAATTATCTATATGAATAATGACAATTGTATCTTCAGAGTCGCCGTGATCCTCTGACACCAGAAATAAGAGAGCGAACAATGGATGAAGAACCACCGAGGAAACCATCGGATAAATTGCGGGATGTATGTGCGCTGGCTGATCGATTAGGATGTTCCTTTGGGCAACTGGCGATAGCGTGGTCCCTCAAAAACGAAAGCGTTCAGTGCCTTCTTCTTGGAGCGTCAAATATCGAACAGCTTTATGAAAGTTTACAAAGTTTACAGGTTTGTTATTTTTCAATACTAAAAAATTAAAATTTTGCTTTATTAAACAATGACTTTTGTTAAATTACTGTCTTAAATATTGACCTTTTTAAAGATATAAGCTCATCCTGATGTTGTACTCATCAAGAGCTTTCGTTTGAATACCCACATGCATTTTTGATATATTTTTCATATATACATATATATAATATATATAAATATATAAAATATATGAAAAATTGATGTGGGTACTCAAATGAAAGGTCTCGATGAGTGTAATGTTAGGGTGAGCTTATATTTTAAAAAATGTCAACATTTTACAAGATACAAGGTAATTTCTTAATGATGTACCTAGAGATAGAGCATTTTCGAATGTAGTAAAGATTTATTGTAATAAATTGACTAAAAAAATTTCAGCTCATACCAAAACTGAATTCAAGTATGATGTTGGAAATCGAAAGGATACTAGATAATAAACCGTCCCGACCACCAATGATTTCAACCCTGGCGCTCAGATGACAATCGGCTGGGCCCCCGGGAAGCACTGGGGGCAGTGTGGATGGAGCTGGAAGTCCTAAAAGCGAAACAGGACAAAGCAATGATCAAGATAAAGATGCGACCAATAAGCTATCATTTTGTGAAATACAATGAATAGTTATTCACACTTTGTGGTGGTTTAATACTCAGGGCACCGTGGCAATTTCAGCTTTAAAGCCCGACCGCAGATTTGTAATAATAACAGTATTACAATCTCCGATAAAATTTAATAATGCTTTGTATTAAAGACGTTACGAAGCTTATACCAACCCACGACAATATTCCGGGTCACTTGAGGTATTTATAATATTAATAATAATGATAACAATTATCGATAATTGACTTTTTAATCGATAAAATTAGTTATAATTATAATAATATACACATGTGTATACAGTATTGTCCAAATGAAGATACATTTTTTCTTCGCAATATTATTTTATTTACAATAATGTGTAATCGCAATAAACACACTCGATTTATTACATTATAAATAATAACAACAACATCAACAAAAGTATGAAATTTTAAATGAAGCAAACTACTGAAATTTGTCTTCTTATTATTAAAATTACAAGTAATTAATAATTTGAATTAAAACCAAAAATCATTGCGTTCAAAAATTTATAGATTTAAATATTTTTTAGTAATCTTCATAGAAGAAATATATATTTTTGGTAATGTGCCTGCATTGATAATTTACTAATTATAAATTGTTCGTGACTTTGGAATAAACAGACAGTGAAAACCAACTTCAATCTTTCAAGATAAAAAATTAATTAATTATTTGTTTTATTTTTTTTTTTATTATATGAGAACAATGGATTGATAAAACGATTGCATATAACTTGTAAAATGCTATTAGATGGAGCATATATTGACGTTTAATAGAGGTTAGTAACTGAATTTGACAGGTTAATGAAAATTTAAGTTGGTAATTGACGGATGGCCTATATCATCCATAAATTTAATCTCAGCATTACATATACATTAATAAATTCTAACTTTATAATATGACGTAGATTATTAAATGTGACTAATTCATTTTGGAATTATTATTTATCATTGGTCTGTTTAGGTAAATCTCTCGCCAAGTATTTCTATGCCTAAAAAGTAATTTATTTTAATCAAGTAATTAATTTTTTTAATTTACGGAGAAAAATTCTTAGACTAAGAAATTTTTCCTATCTATCATTCAATTTTACTTACATTTGATGTTCTATAGGAAAAAATTTTCATGATCTAATTAATTAATTAATTAAAGGGTATCTTTTCATTTTTGATTGATCAAGACAAAAAAGTGGTTATCTTTAATTATAAATATTTTTATTGGACTTTTTTTTATTTATCTAAAAAGTAATTAATTTTTAAAAGTTCAAAAAACTGTTGTTTTAAAATACGAAAAGATACCCTTTTGAAAATCAGCTCCTCATTTATTTATTAATTAATTAATTTATTTATTTATTTATTTATTTATTTATTCATTTACTTATTTGCTTATAAATTTATAAAATTATGGAATTACATCGTAAGTAACAGGTAATTTAGTTATTAGCTTAAATTCTACTATAATCCAAAAATATAAAAGAAAAACATCGATTAAAATATAAAATATTAATCTACAAAAACTATCAATTTTTTAAAAATTAGCCATCATCTTTATTTGTATAAATTAATAAGGTTAGAATACTTGGCGCGAGCACTACCGTGTCTTTAATTATTTTTCCTCTATAATATTACGAGATATATTTTTTTAGGTATGGCAAAATATATTTAATAATAAATTGATCAATGCATTTTTTTTACATTATATTTTTTTAACTAGATTTGGAAAAAAAATTAATTAAAAAATGTATTGAAGAAAAAATGTTGTCCCGATATTCTAAAAAAAAAAAAAAATCTAATTTTTTGTAATTAATAACTTAAAAAAAATAATTGTCCAAAACCTCTATAAAAATTGAATGCATCGCACATTATCAATAAAATAAATTTTCTTCATGAAGAAAAATGATAAAACTAATACTTCAGTGGTATAAGCAACCACTTTTGTACCCAGTGGAATTTCTACGGGTTATTAATTACTAAGCTGCGAGAATGCTAACGAATCACGCGTCAACTAATATATAATTATAAATTATAACAATCGATAACAAATATATAATAATAATAATAATAATAATAATAATTTAATAACGAATAATAATAACATTAATAATAATCGTTTACATTTTTTGATAATTAATCGCGAACAGAACTAGACTATAACTGCATTTTAAAAATTTATAAAAGAAATTTCCGTCAAAAAAATCGACTAAATTGGGATGTTGATATAATTATTTAAAATGAAACTAAATAAAAGTTCTCTGGGTGTACGGTGATGCACAGAGTCCATTTAAATATGTCCCTCCAATAATAAAAAGTAATTTTAAATGATTGCTCACGTATGAATCGCGTAGGCGGGTAATAAAAAATAATTATTCGAACAACTAAATAATTATCAGTTTTAGAACTTTTAAATGAGTAAGTTAATAAAATCTCGCACAATGTAAAAACAAATTGAATCGCTTAAAAAAAAAAAAAAAATCTAATAAATTGCAAGTGACTTTTAAGAAATAGGTCAAAAATTTTATTCTCTTGATAATTAATTTTAAGTAAAAAAAATTAATTAATAATAGAAAAATAAAATAAATTACCGGTATGAAATAAAAAAAAATTGTTAGAAGTAATGAATAAATAAAATAAAAAAAGCAAATGAATTTTTCTTATAGATTAACGCAATTTTTTTTAAACAAAAAACCATTCCAAACGCTTGCGATAATAATTAAAACGATAATGTTATTATATTAAATTTAATTATAAATAAAAATAAACTAGTTATTAATATTTTACACGTAAATTTTAGGGCATAGGAGGATTTTCAATTTAATAATATTAATATAATACTTTACATTAACGTAACCAATATATATTTTTTATCGCAAAAAATGTAATCTAATTAAAAAAAAATGCAGAAAGTTGATCGAGGAAATCGCTTTAGATTGCCTTTTACTACGATCTAATAAGAAATTATTAATAAAACAATTAAATATTAGTTTATTATACGTAGATCGAGTGCAATCGGGTGTTAAACGCGAGGTACCAAGTTGCCACGAGTCACAGGCGAGAGTACTCACATGTCTCGAGGTTTATATTTAATTGTACTAGATTTTTATTTTTATTTTCGTGATAGATATTCCAAATTTTTGATATTAAGCGCATTTATCGAAACAAATAATGTGAAAATTAGTAATTTTTTCCTAGATTATTGATTATTTTCTCTTTTTTTGCGTTAAAATAAAGCCCTAAATAAATAACTAGAGTTTTATTAGCATAACTTGAACGTTGCATGAAATGGATGACAAAATGGCCGAGTTGTAACTTAAATGGCGGAGGCGGGAAGTTTAAAAACTTTTAAAATTTTACTAAATATTTTATATTTTAATTTTTGATTAGAAATCATAATATTGGAAAAAATACTACTTTTGTCAGGTTACTTTAAATTACTTTTATATTTTATGCACACAATATTTTTGTATGGCAAAAAATTAATAATTTTCAAACTCTGACGTCGCAATTCAAACGATTAATATTATTTGTTTTAATATTTAAGGTAGTACCGCAGATATTACGAAGTAAATTTAACTATTTAACGTTATACTTTGGAAAAAAAGAGATAAAAATAGCTTTTTATAGTTTTTCATTAATTATTGATATTAAATCTTCTGAAAACTGTACTTTTAATTATAAAAATTATTCATAAAAATTTTTTATTGAAATAATTTTAATTAATAACAATTAAAAAAAAAATGTCACATGTAAAAAACTTGAAAAATTATAAGTGCAATTTTTTAAAAAACATTTCAGTTATAAATTAATAAATTAAGCAAAATAAAAAAAATTAAAAAAATCGGCTAACTTTATTATTATAAATTATTCAATATATTATTTTTTTTTATTAAAAAAATTTTTATTAAAATCTGAACGAAATACTTCAAGAAAAAATTTTTTATAAAAAAAATATTTAATAGTGTAATTAATAGTTAAAAATTTTATTTCTTAGCTGATGAAATAAAATTCTTTCTTACAGCAATTTTCTTGTTGAAAAAAATTTTTTTTAATTTAGAAAAAAACAATTTTGGATAAAAATTCGCTTTGTCTATATAAAAAAATTTTTTTTAATTTAGAAAAAAACAATTTTGGATAAAAATTCGCTTTGTCTATATTTAAATTGTTTTTTTTTTCAAATCAAAAACAATTTTTTTAACAAAAAAGTAAGAAAAATTTTGATTTCTTCAGCTATTAAATAAAATTATTGGAAGTTTTTATCAAATTATAATACTTATTACTTATTATTGGCGCTAAATATCTTAGATTAAGAATATTTATCATGAAAAAAATGAGGAAATAATAACTTTAATATAATGACTCAAAGCTTAAGCCTGTGAGATGAAATAAAAAAATATGAAAAAAAAAAAAAAAACTAAACTAATTAAATAATTTAGTGAGTTCTCAGTAAAATTGTCTTTCGCTGAATAAAACTTTTAGCCTTTCTAGATAGGAATAACAGTAATTTAAATAAAACTAAAAAGAACGCAAATAAATAAAGAATTAATTAATTAAATAAATAAATAAAATAGTATAATTATTTTCTCCACTTGAGTCTTCATTGAGTAATTTTATTATTACATATTAAATTATGTAGGTAGTTAAATAAAATAATTAGAGAAATGAAAAAATTTTAAATAATGACGGCAATCTAGTAAACAAATTAATTAGAACATATCGGAGTTTAATAAATTGAATAAATGAAGAATAATGATTTACATATGTAAATATTATAAATTATAACTTTAATTGTAATTAATCTAATAACAACGACGTCAGTATTTCAGCTTAAACTTTTAAATAATTCGAAAATTGTATATTTATAAAATTAAACACGATAAACGTCCACGATATCTAAAATCAAAAAAAAAATATTGTAGTTAATTTAAAAAGAAAAAAGTTTTGCTGACAATTAAATTTTATCAATAACATTCGCGCAGTTATTGAAAATAAAATCATGTAAAACATGATTATTCCCGGCAGTTATCTGATATTAATTGGTGATCTGATATTAAAAATGAAAAAGAAATATATTGAAAGAAAGGTACCAAAAATAACACCATTGTACATCGAACCGAGCATTTTAATCTACCGATAACCGATAATTGAATATTTTAAATCGATTGTCACCTTTAGTACATATTTTTTAACAACTAATTAAATGTCACATTGCATAGTTTCATCGTGTCTAAATTTTTAACGTGAAAAATTTACAAATCCACTTGCTGCGCATTTTTAAAAATATTTTATGTAATAAAAAATAATTAATTCGAATATTTATACACTGATAAAATAATTAACTTGACTCACTGATAGGATTTCTTAGTATTTAAGAAGATTTTTTTGTATTTAAGAAATCAATTTTTAAACATCATTTCTTAGTATTTAAATAATATTTTTTAAATACTAAGAAATGATGTTTAAGAAATGATTTCTTAAATACAAAGAAGGTTTCTTAAATGCTAAGAAATTCTTCTATCAGTGTTTCTTAGTATTTAAAAAATATTAAAAATAGTAATTAAGATTTTTTTGTATTCAAGAAATCAATTTTTAAACATAATTTCTTAGTATTTAAATAATATTTTTTAAATACTAAGAAATGATTTCTTAAATACAAAGAAATATTAAATGCTAAGAAATCTTATCAGCGCTCAAGAGCCTAAATCTTGAACCAAGAATATTATTTTGAAGAAAATAATTTTTTTTAGTCAAGAGAATAAATTTTTGAGCCAAAAAAAGTTTACTTAAATCAAGATTAATTTCTTGACTCAAGAATTTATTCTCTTGACTAAAAAAAATAATATACAAAACCCAAGCGGCACAAAAATTTTCTTGGTAATATTTTCTTAAAGTTAAATTAACAATTATTAATTTTTGACTTCTTGTTAAATAAAATTTACCTAAAAGTCAACACAATTTTTTATGTAACGCTTGGGAAAATAAATTCACTGGTTGCGCGCGCATTCCGCCATTTCACATGCGCCATTTTGTTAAACTAACTTCCAACAAACTAATGTATCTTCTTTTTTGCGTACTTTGTAAAATTTCAACATAAAAAAATTGTTTTTTTATTAATAATTGTTTTCAAAAATTAATTAATTTACATTTGATAATTTTTGACTGTTAAATTAATATTTTTATTCACAAAAATAAATTTTTCTTTAAATATGAGCAGCAATGGGATCTCTTAAAAAATTTTATAAATCAGAAAAAAATGAAATAAACGGATTAGAAAAAAAAATGATCATTTTTATCAATTAAATGTCGCATAAACAAACCCAATTATCTGTAACTAACGTAAAACAAAAAAAAATCGCTGCGATAAATAAATTAAAAAAAAAGAAACACAATTAACTATAAATTGGATTATTTTAAATTTGTATAAACACGAGTTTTTTTACCGAAACAAAAGTTAATAAATGAAACTGAAAACGTCGATATTTTCAATTATTGTATGTGTTCATCCTTCATTATACATACATACATGTATTTGTATATGTATATGATTAACGAAAAAAGTATGCGACAAAAAATAATTTGTAAAAACATTTGAACTTTTTTTAAACGGATACAAATAAATATTTGTATAAAAAAAAACACTATTGAACATTGGCAAGTGACAAAAAATAAAGCCTCGATTATAGGCAGTATGTGTGCAATGAGTCAAAAATTTATAAACGCAATGTGTGGAGATAAAATGTTATTAGTAAGTAAGCGTGAAAGTGCAGATGTGTGAGTGTGTGAATATGTGCGAAATAAAATTGTTTTAAAATGTTATATATCAAAATGCCAACAATTAAATAAAGTTTCGATCGCGTAAAAATGAGTGCGAAATACCATTGTGTATTTATATTATTTATCTTTATTACAATTACCCTTAATCCTTACTCTCATAAATACAATAAGCTTCTTGAAAATTAATTATATTAAATAATATACATTTATTATTAATATGTTCATCACAAGGTCTAGGTTTTAATTAATTTTTTTATAAGAAATAATTAACTTAAATTTTTATTATTTTAACCTTATATTATTTATAAATTTAATTAAAAATTTATCGTTTTATCTGCTGATAGAATTCAGCGATTGATTAAATATTCATATTTATATTTATATACACCTTAATTGTATAGTCATGAAATTACTCGCTTTATATACAATATACATTTATTAATTTCATTCAATCAATTTTGCGCTGCATCAAAAAATATAATAATTTTTTATGTTTAATTTATTGAAATGATACAAAATATATTGAATACTTTCTTTGTTTAATTATAAATCTAATTAATTTTTTTATAATTTATAAACATCTTCATCTTGTTTTTTATGTCTTCTATAATTTTCATGTCTATATAAATAAATAACTAAACTAAATCAGTCTTTCGTGTATTATCAACTACACATACATAAGTTAATTGTTCACACTAAAAAATATACTCGTATAAAAAATTAATAAAACTATAAGTACAATTTTGAAAAATATTTTTTTGATATGTTCAAAAAAAAAAAATTTGTCTTTAATCTAACATGACAATGAAATTAGCAGGCATCTGACAATTTTTAGAATTTTTTTAGATTGTATCTTGTCAATTAATGACATTTTTAAAGATATAAGCTCACCCCGGCATTATACTTGTCGATACCTTTTATTTGAGTACCCACATCAATTTTTCATATATTTTATATATTTATATATTTTACAAATACCATATATATATATATATAATATATAAAAAATATCATGTGGGTACTTAAATGAAAGATCTCGATGAGTGTAACATTGGGATGAGCTTATATCTTTAAAATATATATATCATAGTTAAGAAATGACCTTGTATCTTGTGAACTAATGATATTTTTAAATATATAAGCTCACTCCGACATTACTCTCATCGAGACCTTTCATTTGAGTACCCACATCAATTTTTCATATATTTTATATATTTATATATATTATATATATATATGTATATATGAAAGATATATCAAAAAGGCATGTGGGTACTCAAATGAAAGCTCTTGGTGAGTGTTACATCGGGATGAGCTTATATCTTTAAAAACGTCAATATTTAAGAAAGTACAGTGCAATTTAACAAAAGTCATTATTCAAAAAAGCAAAATTTTATTTATTTATATTTCACAAGTCACGGCAGTCACGTAGTGACTGCAAAGTTGCTAGTTTACTTTAATTTCTTAACATTGAATTCATTAAAAACAATTTAATTGTCAGAGGAATCCAAAAAATGGCCAAATGTCTGTTAATTTCAATATTAAAATCTAACTTTTATATTTTTGCTATAAAATATTATCACTAGTTAATATACATCGGCTAGTCGAAAAAATAATATTAGTCTCCATGAGGATAGCAAATGTCAAAAAAAGTACGTACATAACAAGACAAGCGTACCCAACTTTGCGGTTCAACTGATACTTGTAGAAGGCAGTGACACCAAAAAATCCCACAACACAGACAACTATCGACATAATACTGTAAGCGATGGCACCCGACTCTATTACGACATCGCTTCCTGTCATAATAGTTTTGATCATCCACGGTAAGCCCAAACACAGTAAAATATCCAGCGTGTTAGCTCCGAGTGTGTTACTCATCGCCATATCTCCATTTCCTACAATATTTAAACAATTAATGATAAAATTTATGTCGGAGGTCAACAACTACATTATCAAGCAACCTTCTTAGAAGATCTTTTATTTTTTTTAAATTTATTTACTCTTCTTATTTACTTGTTAATATAAATTTAAACGAGTTGTCAATTTTTGAGTAGATTAATTAAACAAATCATTCCAGCTTTATAAACAGTTCTTACCTTGGCGGGAAAGAATAACAATAGATACTAGTTCGGGCATGTTACCTCCGGCAGATAAAAATGTTATACCCATAATAGAATCAGATATGCCGAGGGTATCACCGACAACACTCATCATCCAGCTAACTAGATAAGACGATATGGCTATCCACATAACGCACATTATGAAAGTTATTGGATACCAATTACGAAACTTTTTATACCGAGTGTCTGGTATCGTTACGAATAAAATTAGTTTCGCTGGCCATGTCAGTAAAAACCAGAATTTTTTTAGAAAACTTCCGCTCGGCCAAACAAACGGAGTATCTGGGAAGAAATCATTTTATTAAGTGAAAATTTTATTTTTTGTTTAAGAATTGGTCTATCTATTGCTGATTTATAAGTTCTCTTAAAGAAATTCATAAATAGTGTAGTTTTTTCAATGTATCTTAGGAATTATTGACATTTTTAAAGATATAAGCTTACCCCGATGTTACACTCGTCAAGACCTTTCATTTGAGTACCCACATTAATTTTTCATATATTTTATATATTTACATACAGTCAAAACCGTTTACAGCGACTTCGCTTAAAGCGACCTGCCGGTTATTACGACAAAATTTTCAAGTCCCGTCTCTATTACATATAAAACACTCAAGCCGAAAACTGCTTATAACAACATTGCTTATAGCGACAAATCGTTTATAGCAACTGAATTCACAGTACTCGCATAGTAGTAAACTCATAGCAAAATGCATCGGTTATAGCGTCTGACAAATACTTTCATTCATTTTGCAGTAAATATACTTATGATGTCATCAAATTCTTTTGCAGCTTTAAATTAATGAGGATCACAATTTTCATTTTAGTTAATGGTCTTACAAGTTGTACAAAACACTTTCGTTCTTTGTCATAATAATTCTTACACTTTCGTTCTTTGGCAAAATAATTCTTTGACAATGTCAAAAAGAAAACGGAAAGTCTTCGACATAAATGAAAAATCTCACATAATTTTTCAAAAATAATTATGTTTATTAAATGTAGCATTGAAATTTATACGTAGTTTTATTAAAAACTATTTTATTAAAATGTTTAATAAATTAATTTATGTGTAGTTTAATAAATGTTCATGAAGTATTGTTTTCGAATATAACCCATGCATTGCTAGTTTTTACTTATAACGATTATCGGCTATAACGACCATTAACAGGAGGTCCCTTCAATGTTGTTATAAGCGGTTTTCACTGTATATTATATATAGGTATTAGGGTGCTTCATTTTTAGACGATATTTTTTTTTCTCTGTGCTACCTGAAAATTTGATACTTTATAGAAAATAAAAAATTATGACGCCGAGTAAAAGGCTTTAAGTGCAATAGCGGCTTAGCTCATTTAAAAATTCAATTTCCTATTTAAATAACATAGAAAAAATTTTTTTTTCGGTTTCAACTTGATTTTTTGACGTGAAAAAAATTTTTGTGGAAAAAACGCATGTATAGCTTTTGTAGAGCATAAAATTTGCTACAAAAAGTTCCTTTGTGTAAATCCCCTCTGACTAACAGCTTTTAAGTTATACAGTTGCGAAGATGAATGTTTATTATATTTCACATAAAATCATTTCCAAATTAAGATTTATTATTTTTACATCTAATAATGTATATATAGGTGTGCCAAAATGTAACTTCCTTGATGGACCTCTTAAAATTGGAATTTTGAGTTCCGCTTTTAACAGGAGTTGTGTTTGGGCATTTCCTGCACTGATAGAAGGATTTATTTGCATTAAATAATATTTGTTAATAGTTAACAAATTATTTATTAGAGGCCACTTTTTAGTATTAAACAAATATTTCTTAGTATTTAAAATGATTTGTTTGTATTTAATATATCTGATATTCATTTATTAAATATTAATAAATCTTTTTAAATGCTAAGAAATATTTGTTAAGCATTAAAAAATGGCTTCTAATAAATGATTTGTTAAATATTAACAAATATTTTTAACTTTAAACAAATCCTTTTATCAGTGTGACAAATTTTGGGCGTCACGGATTTATTCGATTTTTATAGAATTTTTTATCAGAAGTTTCGTTCGGCCATTTTTGCTGGAATTTAAAAATTTCAAAATTTAGCCGAACAAAACTCCTGTTAAAAAATTCTATAAAAATCAAATATCTATTACGCCCAAAATTTGTCAGGAAATGCCTAAACACAACTCCTGTTAAAAGCGGAACTCAAAATTCCAATTTTAAAAGGTCCATCAAGGAAGATACATTTTGGCACACATATATATATATATATATATATATATATATATATA